GACAACAAATCATTATCCAAGTAGTCTTTGTGCCTAAACCTAACCAAACCATAACTATAGCAGTGAAAGATTAGAAACATGATAGTGGTCAAATATGGATGGTTCTGGAGCATTCATTTGGAGGGCTTGTTTCTATTTGACGAACAAGCATTCTTCATTGTTCTTCTTTATGTATGTGTCCCCTTCTGAGCAGTGCCCAAATTTAGTTCCAGGAACTCATCCAGAGAAGAGTGGCAACACGTGCAGAACCAGCACATCCTCACCAGAAATACAGCCGATAGGGTTGATATTGCAGCAGCTTATTACGACCCATATTTACATTTACTCTTGACGGGAAAGAAAAAAGTCAGGTGACATAGTACAAAGGGCAACAAAGTAATAAATAAAAGGTATTTGGGGTTGGTTGGTGGATGGATGAATGAGCGTTTTAAGTAAAGTAAGAACCTTCAATCGGGAGGCCTAGGTTCAAGTCCCATGTGAAAGAAAGCCAGAGTTGACTAATTTAAAGTATGTTAAATTTTGACTTCCATACGTAATGTTCTTATTATAGGTAAGAGTACTAGGTAGTTTTGTTGCCTAAACCTAACCAAACTACGATGTTTTTGTGTCCATGTTACTAATTGGGACTACATTTTTTGAAATTAATAGTATTAGTATTGAGAGAGGACGCTGCAGTCGGCAGCAGCAAAACAGGGCTGCAATATTATCCTTGCGGGCAATTGCATCCCGTCAAAGCACCTCCACTAAAGTGCTTGTTTTTGCCACTGACAGGCTCAAATTGTTATTACATGTGTCTGACAACATTGTGGAAAGGATCTCTACAGAGACTGACCTATTTTGAGTAACACAAAACCATGGCAAAATAGGGTCGAGGACGAAAAATACCAAAGTTACTCTTTAAGTTACTACAGTGGAAAAGAAGCATTAGTGAGGTCCACCACAAGCATCCAGAACAGCTTCAGTGCTCCTTTTCATAGATTCTCCAACTCTCTGAACTGTGCAGGAGGGAAGAATACTTTCCTTAAGATATTCCCTTGTTTGGTGTTTTGTTGTTGTGCTGTCTAACATGTTGCTCCAAAATTTCTGATAGGTGTTTAGTCAGTGAAGGCCATAGCATATGATTCACATTATTTCTAACAATTCAGTGAGCTTCTGTATTTATTATGTTTCTCCACTCATTTATTCAGGTTGTTCCTTTGACATTCTTCCTGTAACATGTATGTTTTTTTGGCTTTTTTTGTGTTCTTATAGCTGAAAAATATCAATTTGAACTCAGGTAGGTGTAGGTAAATTAAAAATGTTGCTCTCTTGTTTAGTGTGCCTGTTGTTTTTTGTTTTTTTTACATATTTAAGCGATTGTTGACTAATGGAAAACTATCCTGCAACACCAGAAAACAACAAAAAATCAGCCATGTTGTCAGACTCCCCCCCCTGTAAAATATTTCTACTTTTGGTCAAAATTGTCTCTCCCCCCTCAGCCCCTTCAGCCTCCTCCCCTCCTGGGTTCATTTTTTTTTTATAACTGGCTGCAAATTCACTGCTGTTCATTACCCAGGCAGGTCAATTCCCCAAACAATGTGTTTGGTGTCACAATAAAAAGGGTGTTTTTTATGGCGTGTAGCAGTAAAATGCTATTAAACAGATAAAACACCGGCAACGAGCATCAGGAGGATTATAAAAGGAATTGCCTTGATAAACTCCACATATCTGCGTGATGACACACCAGCAGCTCTCTTCTCTCTGTCGCTGGAGAGGAGGAGGGGAGGCAGGGACCGAGGAGCACATGGTCAGAGAGTTTATGCAGCTCTACAGCGCCACCATCTGGGAGATTAAAAAAAACAGGCTGTCTTTCGGTACTGTGGTCCTTTTGGTTCCATGAAAGAAAGAAAAAAGAAATGTGGTGTTTTTCCATTTAGAGGCTTGCTTGACAGGAGGAGAAGACAGACATAAAAAAAATCTTGAATTCAAATGGAAATGTTTTGCTCTGGGTGGTAAAAGCTACCACATTTTCAGGACTTACTGAACTGATTGATTTCTCCTTATCAGTGCAAGCTCGCTGTAGATTTCTTTTCATATATTCTGTCACTTGGTGCTTTTTTGTGTTGCATTTGTTTGCTTTACATTTACTTCTCTTCATTGCTGTAATATGGCACATCTGAATGAGGATATCTTATAAAGCTGAAATAAGTGTCCCATCCTCAGTCAGTTATAACCCAGGATTAGGAAGCAAAAGACTGGTTTGAGTCAGGTTGAAGGTAATAATTTGGTCAAATAAAGCTCATATCGTGCATGAAAGATAATCCTTTCACGTTTTTATAGGTCCTATAGATGTGCTTTTCTTTCTTCCTTTAAACTTCCAAGTTTTTTTGTGTGTGTGTTTCTTATGAGGTAAACATTATATCCAAGTGTACCTGCAGAGTTCTGCTACAGTGTGTATTGATTGGTCTTGTGCTTCCCTCTGGTGGTTACAGTGAGAATGGCTTCATCAATATAAGCCTTTTTTTTCACAGCAGACATTTTGGAACATCCATCCATCGTCAACCGCTTATCCTGCGTACAGGGTCGCAGGGCATTTTGGAACAGTGCTTACTAATTACGTATATGTTGGCTCTGTTGCATTCAAGCGTCTCAGTAAGTCATGAAAGTGTGACAGTTAGCCACCACTACTAGGACCCTGAAACTGAAGCAGCTAAATGGAATTCAGCCATAATTTATTTTATTATTGACACCTGTGCTTTTTCTGCTGAGACAAGTCAAAATGTCTTCTGTGAAGTTTACATGTCTAGAGATGTGCAAGAGGGTCCCAGGTTTTAATCCACCAGGCGTATTCTCCTGTCAACTGTATAGGCCTATAGACTAGACTAGGTTCCCTATGCTCAGTTGCAGTTGTAGAGCATTGTAATAAGAACCCCACACATCGAGACTATCTTCTTTATCTCCGAAGGTTTTAAGCATCTGAATGCTGAAGGGTTCTGTGTGTCACCCTCAGGGCTGTTTCCTGTGGTAAACCTTTAATATTCAAAGCTTATAGCTGCAACTCAGATTTTAATAATTTAACTTGCAAACAACACAACTCAAGAGAAGGTTCTTCATTGAACTCTCAAAGCATAAAGCACCCCTTCATATGAGACAAGCTAAAGAACATGTAGCATCGCACAAATACAAGTAATTTCTTGCTAGTTTTTTTATTGCTCTCAATGTTACACAGGTGTGATAAAAATACATATAGAAATATACATACAGCTTAAAACAAGGACAAACAAAGATAGGTAAAAAAAAAAATAAAAAAAAAGTAGGCTACATACAAATAGGTGGAAAAATAAAACAATAACCAACAACACACAAGTCAAGTGTTTATTTAAATTGTAAACAAATTAAAAAAAGAGCAAAGAAATAAATATTGAATTGATATACATGAAGTAGTAGTACAGTATGCATGTCTATATACAGAACAGCATGCAGGATTTATATTTAACAATGTTCAATGATATGTAGGCTACAGTGTGCATTTAAAGCTGGAAATATATCATTTATAATTTGTAGGTAAGTAGATGTTTAAGAGTTATGTAAACTACATAAATATAAATTTCTTTTTGTTGTAGTATAGTAGCCCAGATGCAGTATTGTATTGGCCATAATTAGCAGTAATTAAAAAGTATTTAAAAGTATCATAGTGAGATGCTAACAATAACTAACAATTTTAATTTTTGATTATCATATACAGTATGTGCAGATGTTTTGAGTTATCTGCCTCTGAAACGTCTGGATCCATACAGTGGAGATACACTGAATTCTTTGAGTTTGTGCTGCTGATAAAATGGAAAATTGACATAAATTACATGAAAATCAACAGCAAGCAACTTATCTTACAAGAAGCAATGTTATGGTTTCTCTGGATAATTCACAGACCTTAAATGTAAACTGTTTGGGACTATTTCTTCAGTGTAAAGTGTTTGACTGAAAACATTAGGCCTACCTACTATTTGTAAACACTGGTGAAAAGTACATTTGCTCAAGTAGCCAACTGTACTTTTTGAACTTTCTGCTACTTTATACTTCTACTCCATTACAATTCAGAAGCAAATATAGTAGGCTACCTATTACTCCACTACATTTATTTGGTCACTTAATAACTAGTTATTATGATGTAGCCTATTATTATAGGTTAACCCTAAGATAAGACTTTATTGATCCCGGGGGTAAATTCACAAGCTAGGCAGCAGTATTTAAACTGATTACAATTAGCTCCACCTTTACCAGCTGCAACATTAAAGTGATGTAGGCTACACATGACAGCACCATTAATCATAATCCAATAACATACATCATACTGAAATGGGACATTCTGTATAAATACTTGTACTTTTGGGCCTACTTTTCTTTAAGTAAGCATCTTGTACTGCTATCTAGACCCAAACCAAAACTATCTTCATAGAAAATAGGAAATCATTTTTATATGATAGTGAACCCAACGACCCTTTAAGCTCTAGCGAATATAGTCCACGTTTAAAGATTTTATGACCATCGTGTTTAGCTAACAGAGTATTGTTGCTCTCGTTAAATAAGTATTAAACTTACTAACTGCTTATAAACTGCTTATTGTAAAATGTCATTTTGCCAAAGACTTGGAGGGTGTCGTTAGGATCCGCTTCTCCTCGTTATTTTCCGCCCTGCTCCGTTTGCACGTCGGCCATTTCCGGCCAGTGTCGCCATCTGCTTTCTCGTCCTTCTCCAATCTCCGTGTTGTTGTTCCCGGTGACGCGGCGGAGGTGTAGCCTGACGCGGGCTCTTACGTGTCGGCCAGAATAAAAGTGGAGCTCCGGAGGCCCGGGAGTGACGAAGGGAGTCTGTATCGGTAAGGACGGAGCGGTGTCCGGGGCTCAGAGAGACGGGACGCGGCCGTAAAAAGTGTCGGTCTGGTCGGGTTCGGCCCGAAGGAAACAAAGAGATCATGGCGCCGCGGTGTGTTTGTAGCAGGATGGAGGGAGGGGAGGCTGCGGCGGTTTGTGACTTTGATAGTGAACCAGGAGGCGCAGTTTGTGTGTTAACCACCAGAAAGTGTGACAGGACTTTACTTAAACTGTCAAATGATGCTGTAGCGATTAAAGCTTTTTGCTAACAGATTTGTTTTTCCCTTAAATCGGTCCATTGATTGTCAACCGCGATATTTTCATTTAGCCTATGTCTGTTAATTGCTTGAATTTGTTTGGAATCTCATAGATAAATTGTGATTTGACCCCTGCTTACACAACCAGCACCACCGACTTATCGATAATTACCTTCCTATTTTTCATTCATGTTAATCTCGATTGAAATCGGCCATTGCGGGCCGCCGCGTTTGGTTGAAAACATGAACTCAGGCCTGGAGGTTTAAGACGCATCTTGTGTTTTGCTGTCAGATTTAAGTTGTAATTGTTTCTCCTCTCCTGGGATGTGGCCGGTTTGCGTCGAGGGGGGCGTTGCCCGGGCCATGCTGTCACACGCACACCGCATCCAAGTGATTTTTGAAAAGCAGAGGGAGAAATGTGTAAAGCCAATCATGCAGCGGAGAGAGGCTACGCACAGTGTGAGATCACTGAGCTCAGCGAACAACCGAAGTCTGTGTGAGATCACATCTCCGAGTCTTTAAAGGTCTTTTGTGATCATGTCTGCAGGTATAGATTCAGAGTAACTCATGTACGTCTTCCACAAGGTTAATTAGTTTCTCCCATCAAGGGCTTAGTTAGACCGTGTTCAATCGTGTTTTTATTATAATTATGATTAGGCTTATTATTATTATTATTATTATATTAGTTTTTTTATTATTATTATTATTGTAGTAGTTAAAATTTTTAAGTTTTAATTAATATTTTCCTTTCATTTAATTGGTAAGTTAATTCATTTAAAATTGATTAATTTTACTTGAACTATTTGTTATCTATTTTATTATAATAATAAATTCATCCAGAACACAGTCTTAGTCACAGTAATTATTATTTAAAAACTATAACAGCTTTTAGAACTAATTTACCAACCGAAGAAAACATTTGCATTTTTGATTATCAGTTCAGAGATACCTGCTGGTCATTTACAAGTAACTATTTCAACTACTTGTAAGAGATTAGTAGTGTAAATTTCCCACTTCATCACCCAGAGTGCTCCTTACTGTTAACTTGCTGTTTATTGTTGGTAGTGTGTATACTGTGGATTTTCACCTTTTATTGATATTTTATATTTCAGATTTGGCTATATCTAATCTTATTTTTATATGAGCTAATTACTCAACAGGGTGTCATCACAACCTTTTGTTTTTGCAATGTTTTTTTTATTAAAGTGACTCTTAGACACTTGGAGAAATACACTAAATGCAGATTGTTTCTCTGCCTCTGCTCAGATGGGCTGGCATCATCCAGAACGTTGCAATGACGAGAAATAAAAGGCCACTTTTACAAAAACCTGACCATGCTGGCAACAATGAAAGATATTTCAGGAGTGCTGCATGATTGCTATTGTAACAGTTGAATCACTCCATGGTGGTGCTGGGTGAAAACATAAAGTGGCTACTAGACAATAAGCTCATAAGAGCCGGCACATAAGATGTACATTTGTCAGGTCTGACAGCAGCAGGGAGGGACATTAAGATTTAGTGAACTTCCATATTTATTGTATTTTGTGACAGAAATTGTATTGTAAATAGGAATGTGTAAGTATTGGTTATATTGTATTGTTAATGAATTTTAATTTTTAAGAGAAACTATTTATACTTGGAAATAACTAACTAGTTGCCTTTTCATGATGCTCCTACCCATTTGCCTTACTAAAACAGACCACAATAGAAATAAGCTGACTGGCTCTATTTTGTTTTTATCCTTTTGATGGTATCTGTAGATAGGGCATTTCTTGCTGGAGACGCCACTTTTATATTTACAATCAATAAAGAAGTTCAATCAATCAATCGATCAATCACTGAGGAGAGAGTCTGAGTGTTACAGATCATTCAGTTTCCCTGTTATCTTGTGACTTTTGCCTGTATGCGTCGGTTGTTGTTTGTAGTGGTGGCAGAAGTTTGTAAACAAGGAGAGAAAATTTAGCTGTCCTTGTGAATGCCTTATTGTTGATTGTTTTATATTTTTGCATTCCAAAGACTCACAAAAGTCACTGTTAAATAAAATCTCTTCTTTAAAATCTTTTATTAAAGATTTATTATTAAACATTTCCAGCACAACTGGCTCGCACATCAGTTCTGTATTAAAACTTAAAATTATCAAACCATATCACCTTTTTTGGGGGGGGGGGCTTGAGTGAAACCCTGAAACCAACATGAAATATTCAGTCACATTTTGAGTGTAAAATATCAGCACACAGGATTCAAGACGACATTATTATACAACATGAATTACTAGTCGAAGTCACCAAATTGTACTGCCAAACCACTTCCTACTGTATGCCGGTCGTAGAGCCACTTGTCTTGCATAAACAAGTCATCCAGACAAACCTGTGCTCACTGTACCACCACACCTCCTTTTGGGATTCACAGTGCGTTTGCCTGTAGTGTTTTTTAGTATTCAGTATTTTGTATTCAATATTAATACAAACACCTTTAAGTAAAAAAGCTATCCGTTGCGACACAACAACAAACTCCAGCCTCCAGAATGACGGCAGGGTCTCTGATAGAGTCTGTCAACAAAAGCTCAACACAATAAGCTTCATAAATGTAGGATTTATGGGAGCTTGTTGTCTTAATTAGCGTCATTACATTGTTATCTAAGTCATAGCTTTGAGTAGTAAGCAGATGGAACAAACAGCAAGCCAAGGTTCAGTGAGTCACTGTTGTCACTTTGCCTCATTTTAAGCCAAGGAAAAAAATAGTTTGTTGTGTAATTTATCGTGTAATAAACTTTGACAGATATGGTCAGTGACATGGATTGATTCAGTCTGAACAAAACAACTTTCATGAGAGAGAAGTGCTGTCTGTGGCATTCCTTGTTGACAGATCAGATCACCCCTAAATTCAAAGTTCCTTCATGAGCAGTTTTCTGAAATGCTTTCAGATTTTTTCCCAAAGTGCCCAATCACATAATTAATCATGAACAGAAGCAGATGTTACTATCAGGGGCACACATTTGCCCTCGCACACATTTTTGAGTTCTGACTTTATACTTAATTTTACAACTGTGGTGCAGCAGAGGACCAGCTTTTCTTTGACCAATAAATCAAACTATAGTAAGATTTTTATCTTTAATTAATAGTAACAAATGTATGGGCATCAGGAGGGTGCCCAACATTTCTAGATTGCAGGAACATTCTGGGAACATCATTTGAGGTTAGGTGAAAACATTCCTATATGACTAAAAGTTTATGTTAAGTTTTTATAAGCATTTCATTCTCCAAAAAAAAAAACTTTATTTGAAAGGATGTTAAGTGCTCCCTTTGACACAGTTGATCAGGGCATTCTTTTAGATAGAACGAGGCACTGGGTGGGCGTATCTGGTACTGCATTAAACTGGTTCTCATCATATTTGTCTAATAGGGAGTTTTGTGTCTCCATTAACAACTTCATGTGGTCTTTTCCCATATTAATTATGGTGTGCCTCAGGTATCAATTCTTGGACCAATTTTGTTCTCCCTATTCTCTTCCTGGGTGATGTGACCTGTAGACAAGGTATTCCTTTACACCGTTATGCAGATGACACGCAGTTGTACCTCCGTATCAAGCCCACTAAGATCAATAAACAGACTGAAATAAAAATCTGGATGTTGATACATTTGCTTCAGCTCAATTCTAACAAAACAGAAATCCTTGTAATTGGGCCCCAACATACCACAAAACAAATACTGCCATCACCTGTCACAACTTGTCAAGCCTGTTGCAAGAAATCTTGGTGTCCGGTTTGATAGCAATTTGATTTTTTGAGCAATGTATCACTAAGCTTTTCCAGTCGTGTTTTATCACCTAAGAAGTATTGCAAAAATTGGAATAGATTTTAGCCTCTTCTCCTACTGGAAAAACTTTGAAACGACTACAGACCATACAAAACTCAGCATCTAGGCTTTTGACCAGAACCTAGAGGGACGATCACATCACACCTGTTTTAGCCTCTTTACATTGGCTCCCTGTTTGTTATGAGATTGATATAAAGATATTATTGATTTCTTTTAAGGCTCCTCATGGCCTGGCTACAGATTATATTTTAGATTTTCTAATCCCTTATGAACCTTTGTGTAGTTTGAGATCTTTCTGGCAGGAATCTTCTAACTCTTCCCAAGTCCAGGCTGAAAACTAAAAGGGACAGAGCTTTTGCAGTCAGGGACCCAAGGCACCAGAACAACCTGCCTGAGGAAATTGGGCTGTCCAAGTCACTGTCTTCTTTTAAGTCTCTTCTAAAAATTTACTTTTATGAGAAAGCACATCCAGATTTTATTTGATTTTTAATTTCCTGTTTATTTATTTATTTTTAAAATAATTAATCTTGGTATTTTATTTCATTTTCTCAGCACTTTGTTTTGAGAAGTGCTCTATAAATACAGTTTATTATTATTATTATTATTACACTTGGTCGAAAATAGACTTAATTAGATAATTACACCTGAAATGTGACTGTTTACCAAGAAAACACCACCACTGGCAGCAGCTTTATATTCCACCAACTAACAAACAACAGTTGAAAAGAAAAGCAGTATACATAATGTTTCCTGCACTTTACAATTCACACTCAGAGTCGCGCATCTTTCTCTTGTGTGTACCATGATATCAGAGCTAATAGAGAATCCGTCGGGATCCACTCCAGTATGAGAGTGATTAGTTGTTCCATGTTTTATTGATGTGCCAAATATAACGTTTTAAGAACCATAAGTGAACGTTCCTTATGGTATTTTACATATTTGAGATAGAACAACATCTAGAGATTTTTTTTTACTCATACTTTAGCTGACAATTGTTAATATTAATGTCATTAGTAACTCCTTCATTTACATTTATTCATTTAGCTGACGCTTTTATCCAAAGCGACTTACAATTGCTATACATGTCAGAGGTTGCATGCCTCTGGAGCAACGAGGGGTTAAGTGTCTTGCTCAGGGACACTTAACCCCTTCACCACCCATTATGAATTTTAGAAAGTTTGATGTGCCTTTCAAATATTTTTTTTTCTCTAAATTTGTAGTGTTTTCTGTTGTTGTCTTTTATGGCACATTTTCAGTCCTGAGGTTGCGTCACACAAACCATCGGTGATCCAGATGCTGTGGCTGCAGCTCTACAGAACACCAGTTTTAACAGCTTCTCTTCAAATCTTCATCCTTAGCTCAGCCAATGAAGATGGAGTCAGCAGTTGAGGCTCAGCATGGGGTGGAGACTGCTGTGACTGAGGCGGAGAACCAACAAATCACCCAAGCACAGATTGCTACTTTGGCACAGGTAACTGATGACGTTAACACTATTACCACTTCTTCCAGTCTCTGCAAGCTGTGCCCAGCTTAAGCTCTGCAATGTTGGCTTAGTTTGTTTAAAAAAGTCTTGTGCATACACAGCAAAGTAAGATATTAAAAAAGTCAGTTTGATGTTGCTGTTTAGACTCAGGAAGTGCAACTGGTGTACAAACATTTAGAAAAATAACAATTTTGAATGCCACAAATGTAAAATAAAACATACTTAATGTTAAAATGCACATGGCAGACAGCATGGTCAGTCGCTCCTGAATTTCAGGTAACGATGACAACAGGCCACGCCTCGGCCACAGGTCCCACAGTTACGTTGGTACAGCTTCCCAATGGACAGACGGTTCAAGTCCATGGTGTCATCCAGGCTGCACAGCCGTCTGTTATCCAGTCCCCACAGGTCCAGGCCGTGCAGGTAAAACACACATGTACAATCCTAGTTTTAGGTCTTTTTAAGCTGCAATATAAAGAACGTGAAATTAGAAGGTTTGTTTGATGCATTTCTGTCTGGTTTATTGGTTTGTTTGTTCCAGATATCCACCATAGCAGAAAGCGAGGATTCACAGGAGTCAGTGGACAGCGTGACTGACTCTCAGAAGCGCAGAGAGATTCTGTCACGACGGCCCTCGTACAGGTAATTTGTGTGGGTGATGTGTATGAATGCTTTCAGGAGACCGCCAAGACGATCAAGATATCCCATAATTAAATTAAACATTGCAAGAAAAGTTTAAGGACCACGGGCACTTTTTTGGCTTTGTTTACATTTTTGAAAGGCCGATTAGCTGCATGTGTGAATTTGTTTACCAAACACCATAGGGTACAAACCCTATGTTTATAGGGTATGAAATCATCTCTTTTTCATTTGTCCCAGTTCTGCTATTTCTAGAACTAGAAGATTTTTTTGAGCTGTGTTCAATGCAAAAGAACCTTGTTTACTGTAAAGATCTATAATGATCTTCTTGCTGCAAGAAGCAAATTAGCAAATAAATAGCAAATTTTTGGTACATGAGTATCTAAAAATCTGAGGATGCAAATTAGTTGTGCTGTTTTTCAGTGAAACTATAAGATATATAAAAACTATAAAGATTATATGTATAGGACATGGAAATGATTGTGAATAGGTGATGGTGAGACTAAAACTGATGCAGCATTTTACATGAAAAAAATGTTCACACGAACCCTGCCCAATAGGTTTTGTGAGTAAATCCCACCCTTGTTTGTTCCAACAGGAAAATCCTGAATGACCTTTCATCCGATGCACCTGCTGTCCCTCGTATCGAGGAAGAAAAGGCTGAGGAGGACTCAGCTGCCGCCGCCGCTGCCGCCGCCACGCCCTCAATCACCACAGTTACTGTCCCCACACCCATCTACCAGACCAGCAGTGGCCAATACAGTAGGTGATAGTTGACTCAGTGGAGCTGTATCTGAGGCTGCAGGTTGATGTAATTCAGACAGGACACAATGTGGGATGGGTATAGTTAGGATTTTATTGATTCCACTAGGCTTATAGATCCTTTTTATCTGTCCTTTTTTATCACTAAGAAATTATTATTATTTGAAAAAAATAAAAAATGAATCCATATTAGAAGTTATTTATATTTCAAAGATAAGAAAGAACAGCAGCAGCGATTTTCCCTTGAAACAAATCAAACTAATATTCCTGACATCAAAACCCTGATTGAAGTTTGAAAGTAATGTAGAACACATCCTCACTCAGCTGCTAATGTGGATTCACTGCTTGACAAGTCAAGTGCAATTTATACTTCTGCGTCAAATCGACGGCGTAGCCTCTGCGTAGCCCCCTGCCTTACGGCGTCACCTACGTCATCGCCTACACCATCGCCTGAAGTGCACCTCCTTAGGCTGGTAGAGGGAGCAGGGGCTGGTTTGGGAGTGGTAGCTATCGTCTTAGCTAATAAATGTACTAAAACTGGCTCAGTTTTAAGATACATGGGTACTTAGGCTAAACAGTTATGCTCCATCCAATCAGCTGTCATATTGTTGTGAACATGAGCGCGCTATGGCTGTGTACATCACACCGCTGGTGGATGGGGGACTGCGGACATAACAGTTGAAAACATCAAGTATATTCAAGTTTATTCTTGTTAAACAAGCATTTTGATTTTTTACTCCTACTGGCTTTTTACTCGCAGAGTTTTTATTATAAAATCTTCTACACAAACAGCGGGTTTCTTCGGTGTACTTTGCCATAACAACTGCCATAAAAAGTCGAAGGCTTTGTGTCAGCTTGTTTTGGAGTGACATGACGTCTTGCATAAAGTAAAAAATTAAATATGACACATTTATTTATGTAATTATTATTATTATTTATTCTTTGATATGGATTAATTCTCTCTCTTGTTCCCTTTCTCCCGTTGACATCTGTCCCTCTCACCAAACACACAGTTGCAATCACACAGGGCGGGGCTATTCAGCTGGCTAATAACGGTACAGATGGAGTCCAGGGACTTCAGACTCTGACCATGACCAACGCAGCAGCAGCCCAGCCTGGAGCCACCATCCTCCAGTACGCGCAGACCAGCGACGGCCAGCAGATACTGGTTCCCAGTAACCAGGTGGTGGTCCAAGGTGAGAGTTTTCACATCATCTGTGTTAATGAAGTGGTGTGTAATTGGGCTGAAGATAGTGATATCTGATATTTTGCACATATATCCATTATTTTTGATGTAACCATTTTATTTTATAATGCATCCTTGTAGAAAAGCTATTTTAAATTTTTAAATTTCTACTTTTGATATTGAAGACAAAAACATTTAGCTATTCACAGTCAGCAAACACGATAAGGACGCATTGGTTCTCCAAGCAAAAGTGGTTTTATCAAGAAATTAAATTTCACTTTCTGACAACCACACCTTTCAGCTGCCTCTGGTGACGTCCAGGCCTATCAGATCCGAGCAGCCCCTGCAAGCACCATCGCCCCGGGGGTTGTGATGGCGTCTTCCCCCGCCCTCCCCACAGGAGGCGCTACTGAGGAGGTCACCCGCAAACGGGAAGTCCGCCTCATGAAGAACAGGTATGTACAGAGGAGGAAATCTGTGTCTTGTATATCTCAATACCAGCTTTGCTGTTCAGAAACATCCCAAAATCAAAGCTGCTGCCTTTGTGGAAGGTCCATGACCAAAATACAGTGGGTACGGAAAGTATTCAGACCCCTTTAAATTTTTCACTCTTTGTTTCATTGCAGCCATTTTCCAAAAATCAAAAAAGTTCATTTTATTTCTCAGTAATGTACACTCAGCACCCCATCTTGACAGAAAAAAACAGAAATGTAGAAATTTTTGCAAATTTATTAAAAAAGAAAAACTGAAATATCACATGGTCATAAGTATTCAGACCCTTTGCTCAGTATTTAGTAGAAGCACCCTTTTGATCTAATACAGCCATGAGTCGTTTTGGGAAAGATGCAACAAGTTTTTCACATCTGGATTTGGGTATCCTCTGCCATTCCTCCTTGCAGATCCTCTCCAGTTCTGTCAGGTTGGATGGTAAACGTTGGTGGACAGCCATTTTCAGGTCTCTCCAGAGATGCTCAATTGGGTTTAAGTCAGGGCTCTGGCTGGGCCATTCAAGAACAGCCACGGAGTTGTTGTGAAGCCACTCCTTCGTTATTTTAGCGGTGTGCTTAGGGTCATTGTCTTGTTGGAAGGTAAACCTTCGGCCCAGTCTGAGGTCCAGAGCACTCTGGAAAAGGTTTTCATCCAGGATATCCCTGTACTTGGCCGCATTCATCTTTCCCTCGATTGCAACCAGTCGTCCTGTCCCTGCAGCTGAAAAACACCCCCACAGCATGATGCTGCCACCACCATGCTTCACTGATGAGACTGTATTGGACAGGTGATGAGCAGTGCCTGGTTTTCTCCACACATACCGCTTAGAATTAAGGCCAAAAAGTTCTATCTTGGTCTCATCAGACCAGAGGATCTTATTTATCACCATCTTGGAGTCCTTCAGGTGTTTTTTAGCAAACTCCATGCGGGCTTTCATGTGTCTTGCACTGAGGAGAGGCTTCCGTCGGGCCACTCTGCCATAAAGCCCCGACTGGTGGATTGCTGCAGTGATGGTTGACTTACTACAACTTTCTCCCATCTCCCGACTGCATCTCTGGAGCTCAGCCGCAGTGACCTTTGGGTTCTTCTTTACCTCTCTCACCAAGGCTCTTCTCCCCCGATAGCTCAGTTTGGCCGGACGGCCAGCTCTAGGAAGGGTTCTGGTCGTCCCAAACGTCTTCCATTTGAGGATTATGGAGGCCACTGTGCTCTTAGGAACCTTAAGTGCAGCAGAAATTTTTTTGTAACCATGGCCAGATCTGTGCCTTGCCACAAGTCTGGCTCTGAGCTCTTCAGGCAGTTCCTTTGACCTCATTATTCTCATTTGCTCTGACATGCACTGTGAGCTGTAAGGTCTTATATAGACAGGTGTGTGGCTTTCCTAATCAAGTCCAATCAGTATAATCAAACACAGCTGGACTCAAATGAAGGTGTAGAACCATCTCAAGGATGATCAGACGAAATAGACAGCACCTGAGTTAAATATGAGTGTCACGGCAAAGGGTCTGAATACTTATGACCATGTGATATTTCAGTTTTTCTTTTTTAATAAATTTGCAAAGATTTCTATTTCTGTTTTTTTCTGTCAAGATGGGGTGCTGAGTGTACATTACTGAGAAATAAAATGAACTTTTTTGATTTTTGGAAAATGGCTGCAATGAAACAAAGAGTGAAAAATTTAAAGGGGTCTGAATACTTTCCGTACCCACTGTATGTCTCAGTGTAGAGTATAGCAGGCCAGCCTTAAAGCTAGTCTGGGGTAAGCGCATTTAATAATAATTATAATAATAATAATATGTATCACTCAAATTCAAAGGTTTCAAAATGTCCGGCAAATCCCCCAAAAATGAATCCAAAAGACAAACTGTGTCTCATCCTTCCTACAGAGAGGCAGCCCGTGAATGTCGCAGGAAGAAGAAGGAGTATGTAAAGTGTTTGGAGAACCGAGTGGCCGTCCTGGAGAACCAAAACAAGACACTAATTGAAGAACTTAAAGCCCTCAAAGACCTTTACTGCCATAAATCTGAGTAGTTCCTGTCCTGAACACCGAGCTGGGCCAAGTAGCGTATCAGTTCTTTTCAAATACTTTGACTGTTTGATTCTGCCTGCCTGGCCTTCCAGTTTACACACGACTGGCACTTTTGGATGAAAACTCCCTAATCCTGCTTACACTACCTTCTCTTAAGTATCCTGTCAGTATAATACATTTAAAATATAAAAAAAATACAAAATCTTTCAAGTATCAGTACACTGAATACACTTGTATGTGCTGTCACCCAGGTCTGATGATAGACATTGGCAAAGTGCTAAAATAAACGTTCTAGTCTAAAACTGTAGTGTGATGGATCCAGAACAGTAGCTACTATCCTTGCAACATCATTAAAAAGGTAAAATCAGCTGCTGACAACGGTTAACATGTTGCTCCACACATCTTTGACTGTGGGCCTTTTCATTTTCGTAGATTTTGCTAATACCCACATAAGTTAGTTCAACACTGTACCCATCATGTTTATTGTAGAGAGTCCAATGTCCAATGAGGCAGAGGAAATAATATCCTTAAATCTTTCAACAACAAAAAGAACCTCCCTGTGGTTCATCTCAACCATGTTTTTGTTATCCTAGCCAGATCATGTCAAACAAAATGGTGGATTTTGACGCGTCACCTCTGTTTAGACCTTAATTGTTTTCTAGTTGCATTATGGTTTACGTGTTGAAAAGGCTCGTATTTTATTGGCCTCATCTGGCTCCATTCGAGCGTGTGTGTTTACTGTTTAAGAAATAATGCCTGACCAGTCCTTAAAACATAGCCATTGTTGTACCTTGATGTAGTACAGTAGCTACACTGTGGACCAGAACTATGTTTAAGAAGTCCTGAAATGTGATTTTAGGGACACCTGCCAAATATTTATGATTTAATAATCCCTGTTGCCATGGTAACTTAAAATTCACAGTGGTGGGTTCGGTGTTAAACTGCAGTCTGGCCAAAACTATGACAACAAGACCCAGCTTGGGGATTTAAATTAAGACTCAGACATTTCTACGTCAGGCAAGCTCAGTCAATTGCAGTTGAAGCCTTTGAATTAATTGTCTACTTGATCCACATCCTGGTGTGAACCAACCTTTTTAAAAAATGAATTATTACACAATAACTTGTATAGCGGACTCTGCAAGTAATTGGGTCCAAAAAAGTCATTTTTTTGTGTTTTTAAAGATGCTACCAACTGCCGATTGTGAAGGATGTGGAAGAACTGTGTACATCAGCAGACAGAGGATTGCCTCAGTCATGTCAAATGTTAAAAAGAGACGTATTGCAGTGTGACGTCACACTTCTCAGTTCACTCATATTGTTTTTCTGCTTCTCCACAACAGAAGATTGTCAGAGATGCTATTAAAATAAGATTCTTTGTAGGATAAGGCACAATTTTAAAGATGGATTATTGTTTCTGCAACCTGGGGTTCCTATTAGTTATGGTAACACTTCACTCACTAGGTTAAGTCCAGTAGGGCAGCAACAGAAGGGGTAATTTTAATTAAAACAAATTTGTAAGTAAAAGCAAATCTGAATATTTAATTTACTACCCAAACAGGTTGTTGCAAAAACACTATTGCAGAACTATTTAGTTTTTCCACTTTGACTGACCATACTTACTGTTGTTCTGCAAACAAGCAGTTTTTCAAGGCAAAGCACAATTTTAATGGACATTCAGACGTGTTCGGGGTTGAGATAATTGGGGTTGTGTTAAATCTGAAGTCAAGCGTCATCTCATTGTGCCACAGTAAACTGTCAGTTTTTCGTCACAAAAATGACCATCATGATCCAAGTTATGATTTTTCCTTGACATTTCATTCTTCTGTGTTTTATAATATGTGTCTGTTTTGCAATGTTGTAAACTATGGATTGTGATGTGAGATTGCAGAGCCGCCATTTTTTAAATATGTAGCAGATTGGATTCTGTGTGAAATCTACTGGCTACGATTATGCGATACACTTAAAATCCATGAAAATGTGCGTTCTGTTTAAAAGAGGCAATTTTGTGTTACTGTGCGTTGTTTTTTGAGAAGATACACGTACGTATTTGTTTATTTTTTTATATACTGTACATAGACTCTACAGCATGAGTAGACCTCATATTTCTGTTTATTTGATATGAAAAATGTTCTTATGGCTTGTATGAAACCAACTTTGCATATTTGTAACACATCGATGTATAATAGACGACAATGTATGTGTGTATTCATGTAATCCACCAGGCCTACCACAGTCATGGCAGCTAAGTATATGAGAAAAGGCCTTTGTTGGAGACGTTATATTTTGGAGTGCTGTACTCTGTTTTGGGATCTGCAGTGTTTGTTTATAGAGAAGTGTGTTGAGAGAAGTCAGGGTCATCAACGTATTTGAATTTCATAACTAACACTTTTGTTTATTCGTAAACTGCACAGCAGAAACCTCGGTGGGTTCAAACTCAGCCGCACATCGTAGTGTTTTTAACTGTAAATGTATTTTTATCTCATAGACCTGGACAGAAATGTCTCCAGTAGCCATTTTTTTTATATCATCCAATGAATCAAATGAAAGCACAATCTTTCGTCTTGAGCCCTTTTTATGTTTATTTTATTGTACTTTGACTAAATGTATTTTACTACAAAGCTACATTAGATTTTTTTATGGTTATTTTATTGGTTCCAATGGTACACATCAGTTAATCCTCAACCCAAGTATTTGCTCATGTCAACTGGGAACTAAACAAACAAAAATATTTTAAATTTTTTGAGTATAAAAACTCTGTGATTTAGTGATAGAAACTCAGAATTCTTTTTCCTCCAGCTCACTGTTGATGTTTGGAACTGAAGCCCACTCATAGAGGTTGTTTTTAATCCTCATAACTACTATTTCTGAGCAGCTTCAAAGTTCATTCTTGACCTCAGAAACAGTAGTTTGACAAAATCAGCTTAACCCAAGGTCCACATAATAGCTTTTTCCAAAGCTTTCAAATGCATCTCACAGTTTAGTCTTCATCAGGAGATGGAGGTCGCACAGTTGTCATCACGTGACAAAGTATGGAAGTTCAGTCGTGTGATAACAGGTGGTCATGAGAAAATAACCCGTGTCTCTGTTCAAAGGTGGTCTTTGGTGCGTTTGGTTGAAAGCTCCGGAAGTGAATAAGTGGAGATAAAAAAGTTGAGATAAAATTTGACTGCTAATCTATTTGTATATTCACAAAGAAATTTCAAAACTTCAGTCATTAGGTGAACAGAAATTTGGGAGCACTAATGGCCACTCTAACAATTAGAGTGTGTTCCTTAAAATGTGTGTTGTTTCTGTTGTTTTCATTTTGTAAGGGTCATGAGTTCATGGTAGCTCTGCCAGTTTTATTTTTCTTGAATAAAACATTTTGATAGTGTATTTGTAATGTATAGAGGATTAAAGGGTTGAACCAGTGACAGAAATCACATATGTGGAGTTATTCAGAAGGCTTTGAATGAATCATCTCATATTAACCCACAACACATTAGCATGTACTGCAGATGCACATGTCCCTGTTTTGCTTTCCTCCTACCTGTCACAGTTTAATTTGGAGAAATCTATGTAGAGGTAAAACAAAATGCAGAAGTAATCTTTTTTTAATGCGTTTCAAGGGATGGAATTAAGTCTGACCAACCACATGTTGGGCCTCGCTGATTGTAACGCTTATTTTAGTGGAAACAGTGAATTTGATAGAATCCCCATCAATAACGGAGCAATCAGTGCGAGGGCTTTAAAAATGTGTGTAAGGATGGGAAGCACTTAGACTGTTTAGATACTGGTGCCATTATAATACCTGAGTTGAAAACTTTTGTACGTGTATTCTGAAAAGAAAAATAATTTCCACCTCTTGTACTTCTCACAGGTGCTGAAACTAGTAATAATCTTTTTTTCTGTTGATTTGATATAGTGAGCTCAACTTTGTGATGTGATTACACAGTATCTTTCCAATAAAACCAAAAGTGTTTTCATTTTTGTGCCAGAATAGTTTATACTCACAGGCCTCAGTTCTGCATGAAACAGATTGATATCCAAGTATATATACATATATAAATATATATAGGATTTCTAGTAAACATTTTTTCTAACTTTTAATGTGATCACTTTATATATTGCCACTTTTACAAGTTATTAATTTAAAATGCCATGTATTGTATAGTATATATGCTGTGTATTTCAACATTGTCACATTATAAAACTATACCAGCCCATTATTTGAAAGTGCTGTTACTCTGACATTACATGACTATTTTGTAAACATTTGCTATGTCGCAATAAACAACTCTTGAAGATTGTTATGTATTTTATTGTTAGTGAATCAATAAATATGTGAACAATCATTCATGACAGACTGATGAACCACGAAGGGGTTTTTTTATATTTAAAAGACAGGTATTATTTTTCAACATCTTCAGTTTAAGTGTAAATTACATTTACTTCAAAGTACAATGGTCAATTAAAAATGAGCAAGATAGCAATAAAGTATTTAGTATTAAAACCATCCCTGGCTTGACTGTATTCGACCGGTAGATAGATGCAGTGTGGGGATGGGGTTCAGTTTTTACTGTCAAAAAAGGGTGTGGATGGGGGACGATACAAAAATAGTAGCGTTGTAAATACATTTCATCGGTTTAAATCGTCTCCAACAGACCGCTCCTTTAACCAATGAGTGGCTTTTAAAAGTCCTTGTTTTGATTTTTCAGCCAATGGGAGTGAACGGAATTCCTAAATAGGCGGGGCTACAATATCTTCGTCCCAAGTAATGCCTTTTAGGTGCTCCGGTAACAGATGGCGGCGGTGGCGGGGAGTAAGTAGCATCCAGCAGAAATCTGACGGGGCAGTCCGGACCAGCTACCAGAGTTTGTTTTCTACTGAGGAATCTGCAAAAGACCTAGTCGATCTGACCTCATTGAGAATTTATTTTGTCTACAATCTTGGATTTTTTTCTTTTTACGTTGTCTTTTTTCCACTGTAGGCCACAAAAGCCTCGGGCTAGATTTGGCTACATACCGATCCGAGTGCAAGGAGACATCTGTGGGATTGTTTGGAAAGTCTCATGAAATGTTTATGCCATAATTGGGTGGTTTGAAGTAGTAACGTGTTTATTTTGTAGAGTCAGTAGTGTTTTCACGATAGCCAAAATCTGTTAATGTGGAGTAGAAAAAAAGTTAATGATACAAGCTAACTGGCTAGCTTGCTAAAATGCTAGTTAGCTACCAAGCAGCGGAACTTTAGCATGTTGAATGAATGAATGAATTGGCGACCACTTGCATTTAACTAACAGCTTGTTATTAGAAGAACACGTCTAATATAACATAAGACGGCGCTGGTTGAGCCTGTCTGGCTAACTCTTCTTCTGTTACACTAACTTGCATACCCACAAATGGACAGGAATGCGATTCCTGGGAGTTGGTGGACAGCGGCGGTTTAGCACGCAAAGATAGTGTTGTGCTAATACCGACTATAGCCCGGTAATGTGTATGAGACTGGGGGAAGTTAACTTTAGCTAGCTACAAATATTTGCGCTACCCAGGACTTGGCTGCAATAGTGTGAACCTTATACCCGGTTCGGGAATGGGGAATACGGTGTCATGCTGCGTCTCTCCAGAGTCGAGCCCCAAACTACCGTCAAGACAACCGGCAGAGCGGCTGGAGGAGTTCCAGACCAGCACCGAAGTGAGCGATGATAACACCGTGCCCTACCTGCAGCATATAAGCGACAGAGAGGTCCCAGATGGTAGGTGTCTACCTGATAGCCTGCACACCTTTCGATTAGAAAGCTATAAAGTTGATTCCTTTTCCTGTAATTGGACCCATGAAGTGTCACACCCATGTTGTTTGTTCACAGGGAGGTACATCTTATTGAAGAAGCTCCTTCATGTGACTCCCAAGCACACAAAGCGACAGAATCAGCAAATATTTACTAGCCATGTGCACACCCACACCTGTTTAAGGGACCCCTCCACTAATATGGACACACAAACAGGGTCAATCTTAAATGTAAAAACAACTTGATGATATATTCTCTTTCACAACTGTAGGGAGATTCACTCGCAGACACCAGCTTTACCTCTTGCCAAGTTGCTAGAGGTGTTTATTGCCATCTTGCTGCCAGCAGTGTACTGATGATGATGACGACGACGACAGCACTCTTTAGTTGGGCACTGCATCATGTTGATCACACTGGCTTCACATTACCAAGTCAAACATTAACAAAGAAAACAAGTCACAAACCGTTCAGAAATTAGCAATAAAAACGAGCCTTTAATCATTGTCTTTTACCAACCTCAGTTTTATGTCCATGTCATATTATTGAGTAGGTTGGGGAGGTTATAAATTAGAAAAATACACTGAGATCATACATTAACCACAACAAACCTGAATTGTTAGCATATTTTCCAGTGAACAAACTGCATGTTGTAATGTGCTGCCCACTGTTACAGATTGAAAGTGTAAATTAGCAAAAATACCATGTATGCTGATAGCCTCCCTCAATGTTTGTAGCTCACGCTGGGATGTTATGCTGTGATACAGGCCCCTGATAGGAAAAGCATTTCAAATATGTCTCTGTGCAAGGGTCGCCACTCCTCGTTTGCTCCCAGCACAGTGTTCATTCCATTCATGTTATTGCGGACAGTAGTGTGCAGTTTGGTGAGACCAGCTGCTGGCAGGGTGAGGGTCAGAATGCAGTCCTTCCTACATTCCTCGTGTCTCTTCTTGCTGTCCTCACTTCACAAATGCTGCCCTCGCCTAATCCCCGTTTTATGTAATGTGCTGTCTGCACAGATTTGGATAAAGAACACAATTCTCTAAGTCATGCTCGTGTATAAACCAGTGCTATCTTTGTGTTTGCATCACTGGAATTTACAGTTCTGTCTGTAAAGTGGTATCTCAACGTCCACAATAAGTCTAAAATGTAAACTAATCATTTTCTCCAGTGTTCCAAAATAAAATCCTCCCACACTTAAAACTTACAACCCTGTAGTTGTAAGTTTTAAGTGTTATTGTTTACCAGCCGAGCTTATGTCATTTTTACACACATTTGTGGGACTAATCCTTAATGTAATACTTGATTACTTAAATTTATATTTTAAACAAAAGGCTTGTCAGTCTATTCTTACTTAAAAACCATTGCTCACTGTTGACAGTATTGATACAAAATCATGTGTCTCAGGTAGATCTTTGTTTTCTGCTTTTTTTTTTTTTTTCTGCTAACACTAAGTGATTGGTTAAGTGTTGCTTTTTTTTTTTTTTTAATGCATGTCTACTAGTCAGTTCACAAGTTAACATTTATGCATCTCAGGTCTTTCGCCGTCAGACATATTCAGTAAATTGATATCTTGATGCCAAAGCTGCACTGCAGCCACCTTCGCTTCCTGCTTGTTTCTCTATTTTTGTTGTGTGGATCAATAAATCCAAAGGCTCATGTTGCATTATTGGCATTAACCGTTTTCTCCTTTTGGCTTTTTCACAACCCAGGAGTGTGAACTAAGCAGAATGTGATTTTTGTAATCAGATTGCCATTGTAAAGTGCTACTACATACAGTTTTTGTTTCCTCAGAGCTGGCTGTGGAGTCTAACCCGTCAGACCACGCCCGAGCGAGCACCATCTTCCTTAGCAAGTCCCAGACAGACGGTGAGTAATCCTTACATGACACACACACTTCCCTAGGATCATTTTGATGAGCAAACACACAGATCTAAAACACATGATTCAATGCTGAATATTAAGACGGATGTGTTTTTATGGCTTCAGGTATAATTCTGTACTACACATTATAATATCCTTATAATTGTCTTTTTTAACCTAGGCCCTGTTTTTACACTTGTTGCAATCCTGGCAGTTGTGTTAAAATGTTAATTACCTACTTCACTGTAGAGCTTGATTAAGTTGTGCACCATACACCGAGCCACAGGCATCTCTAACAACCAGGTCAATAAGGGATTCAAGCAGATCTTTTCCAAACCTCAACTGCTGTAGATCTCAATCACCAAAAAATTTCAGGTGGAATACTATATTTGATTCTGACTCTTATCATCTTCACAACATGCACTGCACTATGTACTGAACACAGATTACTGCTTCTAGTTGTTGTTGTTTTTTGGGGTTTTCTGAACACCTTTCTTCTTTTACAGTACGAGACAAGAGGAAAAGCAACCACATAAATCACATCAGTCATGTAAGTGTCAAAATCGGAATGTTGACCATATATGTGATTGCTGAATTGCAGTGTCCGTTCACAGGGGCTGATGTGACTCCTCCCTGCACATTTTAGATAGGGCAGCACTTGTTCAAAATGTGCGTCTCACATTGGTTTCACCTGCAGCATTAATAACACTGAAACAACACGACAATGGCGGAGATACTGCTAGATATTCAGTGCTTCCTTAGAACTTCTTAAACTCTTACAACTTGTGTGTATATATATATATATATATATATATATATATATATATATATATATATATATATATATATATATATATATATATATATATATATATATATATATATATATATATATATATATATATATATATATATATATATATATATATATATATATATATATATATATATATAAATAATAATAACTCTGTTTCAACAACTCACTACCACGTGAGAGCATATAAGCCTCACCACTGCAAGCTTACACTTATGTATTAAAACAGAATGGGGGAAGTTTTGTCAACAATACAAGCTGTTCATAATCCCCATCAATTAAGTAAAAACCAAAAACCTTTAATCTTATGAATGCCAAAACCGATAACAACAAAATATTTTTTTGTTTTGCCATTTTACCAAAGAAATCACATTATCATCATATATGACAAATACGTACACCAACTTACAACAGCATGTACGGCTGTGTAGATGTCATGAAAGCTTGTCTGAATTTTTTGGCCCATCTTTCTATTTCTTTCTTGCTCTGGCAGGAAGGATGACGTCCCCATTATTTCTACTCCTAAATACAAAGTCTGATTGTTTCAAATGGGGGAAAAAATGTCTGTTGAAGAGCCTAACACCAGATAAAATTTCATTTGAAATATCCAAGACTCTGACGACTATTTGGAAGTGTTGAATCAGTCTAAAGAAATGCAGCTATCAAGGCTCATCACTGTCCTGTGATTAGTTCAAGCGGTTGATTGTGTGATTATAATGTCTCAAGGTGTCCCCTGGTCCACTGTCTAAGAAATACAGCTCCTGTTCCACAATCTTCATAGACGACAACACCGTCAGCCAGCCAAACCTCAAAAGCACAATCAAATGGTGAGAGAATTTCACACACACAGTAACAAACACACAATGCTGTATGTCATACATGAGAAAATCCCATCACAGCCTGGTAATCCTAAAGTAATACTTGATGTCTGCGTGACTGAAACAGCTGTCCTCCTAAATTAGGGCAGTCCTCTGTAATGACATTATTTCAGGGAATGTAGAAATCACATTTGATCAGGATTATCTCTGTGTGTTTAAGTGAAGCCTCCGTGCTGAATGTGTACAAATGTTTTGTCACACCCTAAGGTCTGACACACACACACACACACACACACACAGCATGCTATTCTCCCATTGAAATGTAGTTTTTATTGAAGTTATAAAGCGCTAAAATCAACACTATTTGTATTTTCCCTTGTTTTTCTCTTTCTCCAGTGTCACATTAGCAATATACTACCACATCAAAAACAGGTAGGTGGGCATTTTTTATTTGATCTTAATCTTGTTATTTGTGGCACATTGTGTTGCTCAAACTGCTATGTGTGTTACGTATGTTGATGGATGTTATGTGTTCTTTAGGGACTCAGACAGGTCACTGGATATCTTTGATGAGAAGTTGCACCCCTTATCAGTGAGTATGTTAAGATTTCTTCAAGCTCGCAACAGTAAATCACTAGATAACGGAGTGTCATTACCTGGCTACTATCAGCAAGCCTGAACACAAAGTAATTCCTTTAAGTTTGTCTACTATTTAATCTATTTATCCAACCAGTCACTTCGTCTGTGTTGCCTAACAAGTGGATAACCATGAGCATGTAGTTTACCCCCTGAGTCTGCTATTGTCGGGATAAATGTAGAACATATAAAAGTTCAATAATCTGAGACATTCTCTGAAACGAAAACCTCCTTTGCTGTCACTTTCTTTTCGTCCTTGCCTTCAATTATTTTCCTTTCGATTACACGTCATTACATGAAACGTAGCGGTGTCCCCATACAAAACTTTGCTTTCTGTAGAGATAGTTGTACTCTGTTCTCTTCCTTCAAACTGAAATTGACCTGGCAATGAGGGCTATCCATAATAAAAAAAACTAAAACAAACATGAACAGTAGTGGTTAGTTATACATCATTAATATGGATGTGCTTCACTGGTTTAAAAAAACTCAAAAAGGAAAAAAGTGTCCTTTCTCATCCTCTCTTGTGGTCTTTATAAATGGTTTCCATTCAGTTGAAGACTTGTTATGAGGCTTGAGTGGTGTCCATCCCACAATGAAGTTGTTTTACCGCCGACCCTCATAGTTCAGTTTTTGGAGGACCACTCCAAGCTGAAGATGACCTCAAATAGGGAAGGTTAAGAGGAAAATTTGGAACAAACCCAAAATCAATGTTGACGATATCACAGGTGCCCTTTATAAAAGTAACACTCAGATAAAACAAACATTACTTCTAAAAGTCTGTATGCAACAAGCGTGCTCATGTTTTTTTTTTTTTTTTTTTAATGGAAAGTCCTGGTATATTTTAACTTTGCTTATATAAAGGGATTATTTTACTCTATGGGTCGTGCTAACTTCGCACTCACCTCTGTTACAGAAATTTGGGGAAATGACTCATACAAAACAACCTACACTATATGGACAAAAATACGGGACGCCCCTGTCCCAATACTTTGGCAGGGGCTGTTTTTTTATGGTGTGGTCTGAAATCTTGATGCTGCAACATACAATTTACATACAAACAGTTCTTCCAACAGTTTGTGTTTGGCCTTTTCCTCTTTCAATATGACAATGCCCCCCTGCACAAAGCCAGCTCCAAAAGAAATGGGTTTCCCATCTTGGTGTGGAACTCGGAGCCCTGATCTCCATCCTAGCCAACACCTTGGGATAAACTAGAACTGAGATTACATGCATGGCCCTCGTGTCCAACATCAGTGTCTGACCTCACAAATGCTCTTCTCAGTGAATGGACAAAAATTCCCACAGACAAACTAAAATCTTGTAGAAAGCCTTCCTAGAAGAGTGGAAGCTGTTATAGCTGCAAAGGAGGGACCAACTCCATATTAATGCCTGTGGATTTAGAACGGGATGTTATAAAAGTAATGTGTAGGTTTACCAGTATTTTTGTCCATATAGTGTATATCATTGGCAAGCTGCTCAAGCCTCTTACAGCTTACCTCCTACCTATAGAGCCACAATAGTCATATTTATGGGCAATGCATCAGGTTGAAATATACCAGAATTTCTTGGACATACTCAACTTTCAAGACATCCTTAATGGGTTTTTTAATGTGTTGTTTGTTGCTAATTTCTTAAGTTTTTTGTAAGAATCAAATTAGTCTAGATGAATTTATAACCTTACATTATACTTGCTTCTCTCAGACGTGTGTGTCTGTTTGTCCCAAACAGAGAGAGCCAGTGCCAGATGACTACTCCCGAGTAGACCCAGAACACAAACTGATCTACCGTTTCGTCAGAACGCTCTTCAGTGCCGCACAGCTCACTGCAGAATGTGCCATTGTCACTCTAGTAAGTCTGTCTCGTTGTTATGCTGTGGTGTACACACATTTTTGCTTACACCTGTATGTTGTTAGAATAATGATATTATAGTGGCAATCCTGAGACTCAGTTGAGAGTTTAATAGAAGTTAAGTAGATTGGTAAGTTAATTCAGCGTAAACATGGTCCAAATGTTTTGGTGCAAACAACACAGACTTTATCAAATCAGACACTCCTTGTCTACATAATATTGTTGTTAAGGAATCCTTTTATAATCAGTCCAAGGCCATTTATAAAGATGCTTCTATCTGTATTCTGTTAAAAAAAAAAATTAATTACAATTAAGTCTAGCAAGACATTGTTTAAACTACACTACAATTGTATAGAAGTTAATAATAGAGTTCATGTAGTGAAATAGTGTAGTATTACTGTAAACTGGTCACCAGAGGGCAGTAAACACCTGCAAACTGACTTGTCCCAAACAGTTTATGGTCCAAAATGACTCAAATGACAATGACAGGTGAGTGTCAACACAAGATACTACCTGAAAGATAATTAAAAAGCATTTAAGCCAGGAGTTCATGGATTCTTGGTTTCATTATTATTATTTCATAATTTTTACGATCACAGGTTTGATCCCCACAAATCCTAAAAACAAAATTTTGTTTGTTGTTTTGAATTTAACATGTATGCTTATTCGTCTTTTGTCAGTGACTGGCAATTTCACTTGATGCAGAAATGCAGGTCAATACTAATGTTCTGTTTTCAAAATAGCAAACTGGCCCCAATTAACATCACCCCCATATATTGTCATTTTTGCAGTAAGTAGTAGCATGTAGTCTGTTTGATTTGCTCTGGAAAATGAGTTCCGATGAGTTATGTATGAAAGAAAAATAATCCTGTACAATCATCTTCAAATGTGTTTCACTATTAGAAGAATAAAAACAAAGTTTTACTAGATGCAACAGTAAAGTAGTGGGTCTAATATAATTACATCTGTGAATTTGCTGGTATGCAATACTTGGCCTTTAACCCAGCGTTAACCTTACTGTTGTTCCTGGTATTATGTAGGGTACTAAGAAAGGAATTAAGGATTTAAATCCCAAAACCTTGCCAGTTCCCAATTAAAATTTGACCTTTTAAATATTATTCCTCCTGAAGGTGTACTTGGAGCGCCTGCTGACCTACGCTGAGCTGGATATCTGTCCCGCCAACTGGAAGCGCATCGTCCTGGGAGCCATCTTGTTGGCTTCCAAAGTCTGGGATGACCAGGCTGTGTGGAATGTTGACTACTGCCAGATCCTCAAAGACATCACTGTGGAGGACATGTGAGTTGGTTTCTATACAAAACGCAATGAAAATAAGGAAGATGGAATGGGGGGGGGGATCACTGGTTTCAGTCACTCAATCACTTTCTGTGAAGGGAAGCATCAATAAATAATATACATGTCACGTTAGACGCCATGTTCTGAAAATGGATGTTCAAATTCTATACAGGTTTATTGTTTTTTGGTTATTTATTGTTGTTCAACAATTTTAGCATGACCCTTTGGGCTGATTGTTATATTTAACAGTGGTGTAGAGTTTTGAAACCATCCCTAAGTTCGACAAATTTTACCAAAACCACCAAGAGGGATAGCTTCTTCTATGGAAGATATGTACCACACTCACTGCAAATCTTGCACGAGGAGTCAGAATAAGAGCGACTGGTGCGCACCATCCAAATAAATAAAAGGGTTCCTACACAGTATGGAATTGTATGTAGAGGAAAATATTTGTGTGTATTCTGTTTTCTAAAATATAAAAATAGGGTTAGACTTCCTAAAAATACATTTATCATGCAAGCAGAGTATTTTTATGGTGTTTGGAACAGGCAGCCAACTCAGCCAAAATGTTTACCACTTTGTGAGAGAGCGCGGGCCAGAGCAAAGGCAAAGCAACAACAAGGGCACTGCTGGGATTCAATTGTGTGTACACAAGAAACATCAGTCTGTCACGGTCAGCCATGTTTTTTGTTTACATTTGCCATTGGATCACCTGAAATGCTTGGTGGTCAGAACTTTGACTGGACGCAGCATAATAACTGTACCAAATATAGACCTGCTACTAAATTAGACAATGCTGCAATATCTTTGAATTGCATATATACATAGCATCACAAATGACCAAATATTAAGCTTATCTGAACATTTCTGAGCTATGCAGTGACGTAGTCATCAGAAAAGTAAACAGACTTCTTTTCTGCGCTAGGAAACCACACCTTTATGGCTACATTCATCATCATTTCCATGGACAATAAACAAGGCTGCACAGATGCTGTAATTTGATTATTTAACTTTATACAATTAATTTCCGTTTCTGCGTGATGGGAGTCAGTTTCATTACTAGCGTTTAGCCTACACGTTTTAACGTGTTGTTAATTTGTCATTTTGTATGCTTCAACTACGGATGAAGTATTTCTTCTTATTCTTCATAACAGCTCTCTGGGAGCCCGTTTGTTCAGGTGTCCTTGATTTTTGTGCTTCTATGGTTAAGTAGGCTACGTCTGTCTGTTTTAACTGTGTTTATTGTTGATGTACGATTGGGAGTCTGCAAAGTGTGTTTTCTGTGTCTGACTTCCTCTCTGGTTCATCTGCTGTGTGCTGTTTTAATGCGGCTTCCGATAAATTGACTGGCGGTGAACATTGAACTTTAGCAAAACTTGAATTAAAAAAAAAAAGTTAATCAAATTGCAATTCGCAATATCTGGTAGAAAAATCTTAATTAGATTTTTTTATTTTTTTTTCCCAAATCGTTCAGCCCTAGCGGGCAGGACTGGTGTCATTGGTCTGTTGTTTATATTTGAATATCTAGTATGAATATTTTCTGGGGTGTTTTGTTTTTGTTTTTTTTTAATTATCGGGATTGGGTTGGAAAAGGAATTATTTTTTTACTCTGTCTAATATGGTCTGAAAAATCTACAGAGAACCTGTAGTAACCCCATGTATAACTGAGAACTGTATTCTTTGCAACAAGTTAAGTGTCCTCTTATTGATGGTTGTGATTATCATAGACAGAATCTCTAGGCATACCCAGACAGTCAAGATTATTTTGTTTGGGGGTGACAAGATTGCATTGGTACGACAGGTTGTCGGAAATCAAATGTGTTTTTATAGTTGTTCCGAACAGCCGCGCTTGAAGGGGGGGGGGTGAAAGCTGGCAACAACACATTTTCAGAGGGTCTCTGCTGGAAAGCTTTCATAGTGTTGCACTCAGTTGAGCTGAATTTCCCTCATTTGGGTTAGGAGCTCCAGCTGAAGCATTTAAAGTGTCTTGGGTATCTTGGAGAGCATGAGATCATAGATACAACAGTCCTAAATGTGTTGTCTTATTCAGCTTGTGTCTGCTTTAACCATTAAGAAAATCCAAAAAAAAAACACTCTTTGAATATACTTCTGCTTCTTCATGTTGAAAGGGAACCAGTTGAAGTAGTTGTGTTTGCTCACTCCCCGTGGACATATTGTAGACCTGTCCAAGTGGGAGGAAGATCCACAACACACAGGAGCAATTGTATGTCCTACCTTTGAAAACCTTAGGAGGATGTGTTTAGGAAGAACACGCAGGCTGCTTTACTGTCCCCTCAACCCAGACATATTTTGTAACGATTGGATACACAGTTGTTGAGCAGTGGCTTAGCTTTGTGTTTGTCAAGCTTGTTTGTTAATAGTGGTCAGGTCATTTTATCTAATGCATAAAAAATAGAAATGTTTCCTGAGTGGTGAGTGACATTTCAGATTCATCTCTAAGTGTGGCTGCCGTGGGTATTTGAGTTTCTGAGCTCCAGATACTTTAGATGTAGAAAAAGGAGATCCATAAAAACAAAGTACATTGGACTTCTGGCACTACATGCTTGCCCCCACCCCACCCCCCCCCAAATAAAAGAAATGTAACAACAAAGATGCACTTAAAGCAGACAAGAAGGGAAGTGTGCGCATAGATGGAAGCTGTAGCATCTCAGCTATCGCTCGGGCTATGAGCCGGTGAAGAGGCCAGGGGCTGCACTTGGAGCACCCGGGCTTTATTTCCTACAATTGCTTTTCCTGTGCGTGTGTGTGGTATAAAGAGGTTGAAAGTGCCCCCTTGCTTTTTTTGTGATTTGGAAAGGTGCGTGCACTGCCTGCATGCATGTTCTCTGTCCGTGAGCCACCCCATCCCTCTTTGACTCGCTCTCTCTTTCCTCTCATATACGTCTGACCTGCACTCTCTCTACTGTTTTCATTGCTGCCATTGAAGTGCCTTTGTGAGACTGGTCGGGTCTGGATGAAGGGATGGGAAGAAGGGCAGGGAGAGAAACAGAGAGAGAGACAGACAGAAATGCAGGGGAGGGTCTCAAGTGCTCTCACAGCATCCACATAATGGCCCTGGCTCTCGCCCACTCCATTAGTTGCCCTGGGAGACCAGACATCACACACTCACGCTCGCTCACTCGCTCTCACCACCTTTGCTGACCAACAAAGCATCCTAGATGCTGTCTCCTTGGCGACCACCTCCCTTAGCTTTTCTCGTGGCTGTGATGATGATGATGAGGAGGAAGGATGATGGAGGTTGTAGTCGGGGGGGTGAGCTGCGACACTGATGTCTCATTAACTGCAAGTGTGTGTGAGATCTCTGTGGAAGAGATTTGATTCCATCTCCACAAGCACTTCCCATGTTGAATTTGAAAGTCAAAGCACAAATTTACAGTGTGACCATGTCTTAGAAAGTTAAATCGTATCTTCTGTGCTGCTCTGAACAAGAGCAGAACCACAGATGAAGAAAAGTCTTTGAAGAATAGAAATAGCTGTTCTTCTGTTGAATGTAGTAGCTGATAAAAATTCATTCATGGATCTTCATGTCCCTTTCTTTTTTTTTTTCTTTTTTTTTTTATCGAAGTTGTGTGTGTCCACAGCTAATCTTCCATACTACTTGGGCTGGGGAAAATAAAATTGTGTCCTGGATGCATTATGATTCTCTCTTGAAAAGGAGCACATTCAATCTGAAAACTGTGTGCACTTCTTTTTTCGACTGTGTCCTGGTTGAACAACATGTTTCTTTGAAACGGTGCACAAGTAAATGTTTAAAAAAAAAAAAAAACATTTTTACAATAAAGATCAGCAGAAAACCGCAAGATTGTTTTAAAGAAATGATCATTGGAGACACCTGATAAATAAAGTTTCATTGTTACTGAAAATCTTATGACAAAACTGTCATCACAACAGCCAGGAGCACAAACGACCAAAGTGGCATTGATCATTTGATAACGACCCCACAGCGATTGAATAGCTGTGGGGTCCCTGCCATTCAGTCAGAGCTGAAAACTTATTTGAATATCTTTTATCTAGTCCAGTTGCCCTTGATTTTAACCTTCCTTGGACAATAAAAATTTGTTCACAACATTTAATGCATCTGCTGTTCTTTGAGTAACAGAATGTAGCGCCAAAGCTCTGAAAAACAGGCTGGATGTGGATCAATTGAGCGAGGAGGTTGTTGTGGAAATATTGCTGGTGAGGGATTAAGTAAATAATTGAGTTACAACAAACCGCTGTCTTTGAAGAATTTTAGATCTTGCCTTGGTATCAGATGACCTTATCCCTATACCCTATATTCCTCTATTGCACTCAGTGTAGTTAATATAGAAGAGAGCCATCAGCTAAAGTTATAGATTAGACTTGAGGCTCTGCTCGGAAGTGTTGGCTGTCTGGAATAACCCTCAGGTATCTTTCTACCCTCTAGGAATGAGATGGAGCGCCACTTCCTGGAACTTCTCCAGTTTAATATCAACGTGCCAGCCAGTGTCTATGCCAAGTACTACTTCGATCTGCGGCAGCTGGCTGACGACAACAACCTCAACTTCCCTCTGGAGCCTCTCAACAACCAACGCGCCCAGAAACTAGAGGTGAGCTTCCCTCCTCAGACCAGCCATTTCAGTAAGTCTCATTATAATGCACCGGTAATATTTTCCTCTCCACTTTGCACCAAGCCCACTGTTCTCTTGTTCTACTGCCTCTGACATCAGATTAGAAGATGTCTTGGTGAAGAAAATACCTGATTAATTATAAGTCTTTCGATGGGTTGAATGTTGAAGTGGATTTTATGGCATCAGTGATGCACAGTGAATTATGTACTAAGCTGTTGAGGAAGAGAGAAAGAAAGCATCTAAGGTATTTACAGTTTGGCTTTCTCTACTGGTGACATGTAAAGTGCAACAAGAGCTGATGTACCATTTTATGATCCTGCATGTTTCTTGAATTCAGACACCTCTTTAAAACACAATGACGTATTCACCTTTTCAATCAGAACTTTTCAATAACTGTGTTTGCACGTTTGTCCGTCCAGGCCATTTCAAGACTATGTGAGGACAAGTACAAGGACCTGAGCCGAGCAGCGATGAGACGATCCTTCAGCGCAGACAACCTGATAGGTATACGACACTCCAACGCTGTGCTGTCATAGGTCAGACCGCTGCCCTCTGATTTCCAAAGCCCAGCTGACCCACAGCCAGCCCCGGACAAACATAGCCACCTCACAGGGTCAACACAGTCACATCAGGCAGGATTCAGCCTTGAAATGGTTGAAACGGTATGACATGCCCAAACGGTAATCTGCATTACGGCTGCGTGATTGTCAAATTAAACTTGAAATTGGGGTGTTAACCTAAAACCTTGCCACACAACTGTTGTTTTTATAAATCCCTTATTTATTTTTTACTTGTCCCTTATTTCTAAGAGAAAGTGTTAAGTGGAAATTGCTCTTCCGCACTCATCTCTGTCTTTGGATTGTCATTAAAATGTAATTTCTGCAAAAGTATCAGAATTATTCCATGCAGCCTTTAAAAGATGAGGCTGGTGTTGTTCTATATTTTAGTTGTCACCAAATCCAATGACAAGACCAAGACCAGCAATGTGTTAGTTTTTCTCTCTGTACTTTCTGACTTCCACACCCAGTCTGTGACAAGCAGGCCATTGGTTTGTACTGAAGACACAAATATTTAATGTGTCACAATTGTACAGTAGACTTTAAGTCCTAAAATGGCTCAGTCATTTCCTAAAACAGCTACCACTATAACATCTATCAAACATTGACTCAAACAGGATGGTGCATTTGTTGGGGACTGTTTCTTGCTGTGGATTAATACACATTTGGTGCTTCAAGTCAGTATTTACTGCAGCAGGATGGTGTATGTGGGACTGACTCAAAATAAACCGTGTACAGGGCACTACTACTGCTGTCAGACTGTGGATACACGGACAGTACTTAGTCAGATCTATTTATTGTTGGTTTTGGGCTTTTTGTGGGATTTGTTGACAGTAAGAAAGTATACAATATCACCAGACATAATTTAATTGGCAACACAAAAGCTGTTCCTTTTGTAAATTAGATTTAATACCAGAAGTTACCTTTTGAGTGTGTAAAAAGAGACTTGTTTACTGTTTATTCCAGTGGTGTTGGATTGTATTTCAATAAATTATCTACACATTTGGATGGAGCATGTCAAAGACGACAAAGTATTAAACTATGAATATTCCATAGGAGCTGGCCAAAGTAAGCAAACCTTCAGTCAGCTGTTGTAGTGTTTCTGGGAGTCAGGAGTGCCAATGTGGGGTCAGATTCATTTTTCAGATACACTTGGTCAAAAAAGGAGCGATTTACAGATTCTGGATCAGTGCTGCTACTGAGTGGCTTGTTATAGCAGTTAGGTTGACATAATGCATAAATGTAGGTTGGATCCACACTGTCCGGCCAGAGTATTATGCCCCTCAAATCCTGTCATCCATACCCCACCTCAGAGAGCCCCATCAACAGATTACCAAACCCATGCTTGTCCCAGGCCCCCAACCAGAACTTCTGAACAATACATAGATATTGAGGGGGGGAAAAGAGACTGATGGATACTCCCCTCCTTTTTGCTTACTATGTAGGCTACTAGCTGTGAAATTTGTCTTGTTTTTAATTAAAAAAAAAACAAACATTTGCAGATGGATTATTTTAAATAAACACTAATCATGTAACAAAGAAATGTTGTGTTAATTGTATTAATAATTCAAAATGTGCTGGTGGTGTTGTGAGTGTACAGCTTGCTGTGCTTGTTTAACTAGTACAACCAGTCTGAGTTGTAAGGTTTCTTGTGATGTGCTATAGCGGCGGAGGCACATCTCACCTAAAACAATGATCCTCTCCTCCGAAATCATAAAAAAGTGGATATACTCTTATGAAATACAGTATCTCTCAAAAGTAAGTACACCCCTCACATGGTTGTAAATATTTCATTATATCTTTTCATGTGACAACACTGAAGAAATGACACTTTGTTACAAAGTAGTGAGTGTACTCGCTTGTATAACAGTGTAAATGTCCTGTCCCCTCAAAATATCCTCAACATCACACAGCCAGTAATGTCTATACCACTGGCAACGAAAGTGAGCACACCCCTAAGTGAAAATGTAATTTCTTCAGTGTGGTTGCATGAAAAGATATAATCAAATATTTGCAAAAATGTGACAGGTGTACTCACTTTTGTGAGACACTGTATAACATTTAGCCTTTAGCAGCGGTGCTATTTCATATAGAGAAAGTCATTAAATTTGGTACAGCTATCTTTTAGGCCATCATCCTCTAACTAAATGATTATAAGACGAGGATCGGGATCACTTACCACCTCGGCTAAACGATTTCCTTGATGAGTTGTAAGTATTAGCCTTTTATTATTTTGAAGAGGTACTTTTATGATTCAAACTGTTAGTCACTTATTAACAATGTTTTGGTCCTTAGACCTTCAGGTAACTTTGTCAGATAGCTTCTGACACCATGTATACAGCATATAAACAGTATAGTGCTGTTAAGTAAAGGAAGTGCAAGTGACAAGTAACCCAATGTCATTTTCAGGTGTAACTACATGTTTGCATCCTGAGCCAGCGGTTTAGTTTCTACGTAGTTGTTTTATTTAATGACATTACAGTAATGACTTACCATTTGTTGGCATATTCAAATGTCTTTGTAATTTTAGTATTGTAACATTAATCAGATGCTAATGAAGCTTTAATTGGTGGTCACATTAGAGAAATGCTTCCCCTGCTGTAGCTGAGATCTTTCCCATGTCAAATGAGTTGGCTGCAAATTCTGATCACATTAATGTTTCACACCCCTGTAAAAGCTTGTCTGTGTGTAACCTTACTGTAATACAGCTAATGTCTTTAAAGTTCTAGTGGTGCTGCAGTCAACAAACCACGGGACAGTTCTGATACAGTCTGAAATAATGTTGGATATGCTGTGAGACAAAATTAGTTTGTTTAATTCCAAAGATTGTGCCATCCTGTTTATATACGATGATATGTCTCCCTTTTATATCTCTGGTTGCATTAAGTGACTGTGGGTAATGTTAGTCTGTGAGCAGGAGTTTTGTATGACGATGTTGGATTGTTGCATCAATGTGATGATGTAATGTGATTTGGAAGGTATTTAATTTGCTGGATTAGCCAAAACACAATGGTACAGTTACAGATGATGGCTATGGAAATCACCTTCAACCTATTTTATTTGAGTGTCCCAATTCAGAATGTAACGGATGCAGCTCTCATATAATTTACGCTACATATACTACTATTTGAGGGGGAAAGGAAGAAAATAAAATAACCGGTCAGTGATGATTATGATGAGTGTCCATCATTAGAATTTGCTGCTTACTATAGAGTTAACAGTGGGTGTTGGTGAATGAATGAACGAGTGTCTTATTCCATTGTATTCTGGGTTTGTGAGGCTACTGTTATTTGAGAGATGTTCTTTCAGGCAGAGGTTTAAAAATGGAGGACGGTGCTAGAAGCAAGTGACCACCAGTAGGACGTCACGCCCTCAGAAAGCAGCCACACATTGGAGGAAAACAGGCGCCTGCATGGCATCGGTAATACTTTGTTGATTTTAAGATTTAGATTTGTCACATTAGTCGTCACATTTAGGCCATTTAACAGTTAAAACTTTGACTATGTGGAGATAATTACTGAACACAAGTTGCGCCCTAATCATGTTATTTAACAAATATTACTTTCTTCTAGTTGAGCATGAGCCCAAATTCAAATGTAGTTCAAATATATATTGATAGATTGATCCACACATCCATATTGTGCGTTTTGAACCATTTCAGATCGAATAAGTCCACAAGCCTTAGTGAAAATCGATACAACACGTTATGCCAGATATGCAGAAACAGACATATGCGAGACGTGCACCAAACTCGAGTTCAACTCTGTTTTAATTCCACAATATGAATCTACAATGTTTTGCCATATCCTTTGAGGAACTCTTATCAACATGGAAAGCAAATTTACACTTAAACAAATAAACCTAAATGTCAGTTTTTACCAACACTTTCATGGCATTCATCATCAATCATGCAATCACATTCGCTCACACAAATCAGGCTAATAAATTAGAGATATCGTCTGGCATGTGGACACACAGTAGTCTAAACAACACAGTTGGCCAACAACATTGAAGGAGAATATCACAGACCGTTACAGCAGCTAAAGCAGAACACAATAAATGTGCTTAATTTTCACCAAATCTCATGTTTAAAACCGTTTATTTGTACTCTTGAACGCCAAACAGAAGTACTAGATGTGACCTCTGTAAGGAGACAGGAGCTTCCTTCACTTTATGCTGTCGAGGCTCCTAAAAACAGATGATCCACATTAGACCACAGAACCTTCTTGATAAGATTGTGTTCTGTACAATGGTGTCACATACAGCTCTGAACACATTCAAGAAGTGTGAATACAGTCAGTTATGATGTAAAGCGGCATCTTCCAAAAGTGCTTGTTTAAGCTATGAACTGTCAATAATAATGACAAAAGTGGACTTCTCAAAGTGCTTTTCCAGCCAACAGGCCCAAACCCCCCAAAATAATGAATAATAATAAGCCATTAATGAATTTACAATGTTTTAAAAAAATCACAGAAAAGCAGCACATCCTCATATTTTAGATAGTGGAGTCAGTAAATATTTAGTTTCTTCTTCTTTAAATTTAAAGTGATATCATTTAGCACAGTTTCCAGCTGAATGAGTCATTTAACCTGATGCTAAGTCAGAAAAATATAAGTCAAATTGGCCCATTAAAGAACTTATACACTCAACGCTATTACACCGATGAGTATTTTCATTATCAATTATGCAGATTTTTGTTCTTGTTTGTTTGTTTGTTTGTTGTGACATCCTCTAATTTCTCGACTCCTAAAAGATCTTCAGTATACAGTGTTAATGAAACTGAGAAAAGCAGTTTGAGAAGATGAAACCAGTAATTTTTGGCATTTATGCTTGAAATTACTTCATAATTAGTCTATTATCAAAAATATTGCTGCTGAAATTTCTGCCAATCTATTGATCAACTGATTACTTCAAAAATCTATCTATGACTCCTAATGTCTGATATGTCCATGGCATGAAATCACTAGAAAAGCAATGGTCTCGAAGTGATTGTATCAGGGATTCCACAGCAGAATTGTCAAAACAGAAATCACGGAGAAGAATGAGAATACACAGAAATTTCACTGTAGCTATTATTGTTTGTTTGTTTTTTGAGATTTTTGCTACAAAAGGGTCTGTGGTCTGATGTTAGGGGTCCATATTTGAGAGTCCCTGATGTGGAGAACATAAAGTGAGCAGCTCCACAGTGAACCAGCAGATGGGGGTAAAGGCCAAGGTCAGTTTCATCCTTACCCAATCACTGCCTGTTCCTTTACACATGAGGGGGGGGGGGGGAAACTTTTCAGACTTTAAATGTGATGCAACCTAACAACGGTTCACAATAGTATCCATACTGAATTCCTTTTTGTTTGATTCCCAGAAGACTTCCACGTCTGAGAAAACCTAAAAAACCGCTCTGTTTCAGTTTGTGATCAGAAATCACACTCAGACACTGACATGAAACAGCACGTCTATATGTACAAGTTTATACAATTCAAATCAGGCGAGATTTGTTTCTCTGGTCTTACACGTAGCTTGTGGCATTGGTTGGCTACAAACTAAACACATCACACTATATAGCTAATTTTCTTTTGTTTTTACAGCACATTTATACAATATATACATAAATAAATATGTATTTCTATCTCAGTGCTCAGGATGAGCAGATATGAAGAAGCATGTGTGATTCCATTATGGATCCAGGTGAGTCTGTGGGGTCTGAAAATTGTTAAGTAAATGTCAAGTCTGATCAACTGTTTCAGCTCTACAGCTTAGAAAAGCAGTTTTAAATTGTTGAGTCACTTTTCTCTTTAAAATATTCCGTGTAGGATTTTCTCTAGTTTAAATTCTTTTACACAGGTTGTATGTTTTTATGTCCATTTTTATGCTCTGAATGTTTTGGTGCATTGTGTTATTGATCACAATCTTCTAGTTATTGTCAGAGCTGAAATTCAGAGCGCAGTGATACTCAAGCACGGAGTCCTGCAGATGTTTGTCCACACTCACATTTTTGGCTGTTTGGGTAGTTTATTTCTGGGTGTCCAGAGAGGTGACTGTACAGACTGTGAGTTCAAATGTGGGATGGAGCAGCTTTATGGTAGATCCCTGATGTCAGCCCAGTGCCAGTATGTCCAGTTAAAGCGGTACTGGCCTCACTGTACATGGAGGGGGGAGCAGTGGCTTTCTGCAGCCAGCAGGGGCAGCATCGTGCCATAAACCTCCTCCAGGACTCCAGGGTTTTTCCTGACCAAATCCAGACTCCTGAGGTAATGCCTACTACTAAGCACATGAAGTACTTGAGCATGAAAACGGCGTAGTCTGGGCCCACTCCCGAGCGCTGGCGCTCAGACTGGCAGGAGCAGGCCAAGGCTCGCTCCCAGCCAGGCCGGTAGTGCTGCTCATAGACCAAACAGGCCACCACGATGGTGGCGGGGACGGTGTACAGCACTGTGAAAAGGCCGATGCGGATCATCAGCCGCTCCAGCTTGTCTGTCTTGGTGCCACCTTGCTTGATGATGCTCCTGATGCGAAAGAGAGAAACAAACCCGGCGAGTAAGAAAAGCGAGCCAGTAAAGAGGTAAACCACGAGAGGTGCAAGTACGAATCCCCTGAGATTCTCCAGACTCTGGTTCCCCACGTAGCAGATTCCAGCCACGGGGTCCCCGTCCACAGAGCTGAGAGCCAGGACGGCGATGGACTTGACGCTGGGGATGAGCCAGGCGGCGAGGTGGAAATACTGAGAGTATCCTGCGATGGCCTCGCTGCCCCACTTCATCCCTGCAGCCAGAAACCAGGTGAAGGACAGCACCACCCACCAGATGGAGCTGGCCATGCCGAAGAAATACACCAGCAAGAAGACGAGGGTGCAGAGAGCGGGGCCGGTGGTGTCGTAGAGGATGTGCAGCTGGTCGCCACCAACACTGGTGCCACACGCCACACGCTCGTGACCTGCCACCAGGCGGATGATGTAACCCAAAGAGACGAAGAGGTAGCACGTAGCCAGGAAGATGATGGGCCTCTCGGGGTACTTGAAGCGTTCCATGTCAATGAGGAAGGTGGTGACTGTGGTAAAGGTGGAGATGAAGCACAGCACCGACCAGAGTCCCAGCCAGAAGCTGGTGAAGGCGCGTTCGTCGGCTGAGAAGTAGGGCTGGTGGCAGGGCTGGGCACAGTTGGGCAAGGGCCCGGTGTGGACCTTCCCGTACAGAGAGTGGGAGTCCCTCTTGATGGGGACCAGGGGGTCCCGACAGCGGCACTCCCTGTCACACAGCGGGGGGCTGGGGGGTCTGGTTCGCCCTTTAGGGGTGGGTTTGGGGAACGGTGGGGCCAGGGTGGTGGTCTCGCTGCTATTCTGGTCCATGCACAAGGTCTCGTCGCCCAGCTGGGGCAGCTGTTCACAGCTCATCCTCTCGGGCCACTCGAAGCCATACTGGCTCATCAGAGGGGAGCAACCTCGCTTGGCCCGTTCACACACGGAGCGGCAGGGTGGCAGCGGCTTGCGGTAGTCTGGCAGGCAGATCGGGGTGTACATGCTGCACAGGAAGAAGAGCAGGTCTGGAGAGCAGCGGATCCGGACCAGGGGCCAGAACTGGTGCACCTCCAGACCTACCTCTTCCTGGGTGTCATGGTTGAACTGATTGGGCATGTAAGTCAGGTTGTAACCAATGCCCCTGCACATGGGCACAGTTATGGGCTCACATACCAGATCTTTGGAAGCTCCTAAAGTGAGATCAGGACACGAGATCAGCAGCAGCAGCAGCATGAGGGGCCGCGGGAACACCGGGCTGGACGGCGCGTGCCTCACCGTAGATGCCATATAGAAAATAAACATTAAAGTGTTTTAAAATGATTAATTTGGAGTCATTAAAACAAGACAAATGGTAAACGAGCAGCTTGTTTTAGTTTGAGTCCATCTCGGAAACCTCAAAGAAAACTTTCTTCTGCTAGAAAGATCAGGACCAGAGTTTCATTCACCTTTCAGACGCTGATTAAAACTAAACGGTAACTCCAGTTTGTCCATTAAAGTCCACAGAGCACCAGGCGAGCCTCTGCTGTCAATCATTCACCAGAGCACCCGCAATCATTTCGGAGAAAGTTCATCTCCGGTGGTCACGTTCCAATAAATACAACGAACCTGTAACATTTTTACCAGCCCTGTTGGTTCCCGGCAGGTCGCAAATGCCATAATAAGTCTCATGAGACTCACTGTCGGTTAAATTAGAGAGCTGTCCAGGAAAATGTGATAAAGCAAAAAAAAAAAAAAATCACAATTTTACTTTTTCAAAGTGAGCTCAAATGTCTGGAAGTCTCGCGTGTCTGCGCCCGAGCCAGGTGTGTAAAATCCACTTGACGTTTCCTCTCAGCTCGGTTTATTCCTTCGGTAACATGAAAGCTGCTTTCAGACACATGTTGGCCTTTTCTTTTCAAACTTTCACAAGTAGCATGTCTGCTGCCTCTGCGCTAAAAACAAAATGAAACACAAGAATAATCCAACGTCTACTTCAGGGTCAAAACTTTATCCCGTGTTAAGTCTACGGAGAGCGTGCGGCTTCACTGAGCCCCGAGGACTGAATACAGTCCGTCTGAAGCTGCAGCACCTCCTCATCACAGAGAGGGACTGCTGCGTTCAGGGGCTGTCGGAAATCATTTCCACCCGCCATGAGGGCACAGAACAGGAAAGTCAGTAGGCCTATTTGCTGATTCAAACAATGTAAATTCTGTAAATCCCATTTTTATGGGAAAGTGGTTGCATAATGTGATTTACAACGACATGAGCCAAACCAAAACTCACCTTTATTCAGTGTTTAATTATGATTTGACCCTCATGGCCAAGAATAAGAAAGTCCATGCAATGTGTATTAAGTGCTTTATATAAGGCAACGAAATATAGCCTATTAGGGCTACAATAAAGACTAAAAATAACAATGTGAAATAAAATTACAAATTCCAATTTAAAGAATGGACTTTTTCTTTTAATTAAAAATTGACCAGATAATACAGTTTAATTGTAGCTTCAGTGCAGTAATAGAAAATACTTAATGCTCCGTAGTGGTGATTTGTTTACTTCAGGTGTCCTTGTATTTATACTTGTATTACTATTCTGAGTTAGCCTACTGAGTATTTCCATTTTATGTTTGTGTTGTTTTATGTCAGATTGAAAGTTTTCTTGATACATGATTTCATCAGTGTGTCACACATTAAACTTTTTGGCAAATAACTTTCTGCAAACTGACTAACTGATTAATTAACCAACTGTTTTAACACTAGTTTTCACATTCATTCATTCACCTCATTCATCGACAACATTAAAATGCTGCTTACACCTAAAGACATTACCAATATTAATCCAATAATAGCCCGATAATGTTTCAATCTGAAAGAAGCGACTCATGCATAGTGAGTGATTTTTGCTTTTGATATTTTAAGAACATTATGCTGTTAAATAACTAAAGTTTTGAATTAAATATTTAATAGAAAGTAATTGCTACTTTTACTTAAGTAAAATATCTGTCTACTCCATTCAGTTGAACTTTTGGACTCCAGTATAATCCAAAAAACCCTCAATCCTAATCTGGATTTCATGGTGATTTACAAAATGTGAACATCCTGATTTGTTTCTATCCTCTTTATTCTGCAGTTTAGTGAAGCCTGTTGTCTGAAAGCAGCCTATAGCACCTGAATGCATCAATGAGTTGTATTTATGGCTTCCTGCATTAGGGAGGTAAGAGTTTAACCAGAGAGCTTGAAGGCATCAGGTTAATGGATATGGTCTCCACCCACTGACACCATGACTAAACTACCACACACATACAACAAAGTTGTTGTGGGTTTTTTTGTTTGTTTGTTAGTTGTTGTTTTTTTGACAGGTATGTTCTGTGGCCTTAATATTTGTAACATCCACAGTAATTCATCCCTTTTTCCTCACACTTGCATGCTGTATTTCACAGTTTTGGTTTATTCTTTGCTCATTGCATTGTTTCAATGCTGTAATTATAATTTTTTAATCCGATATGTCTATTTGACATAATTCGTTTGTCTTAAACAGTCAGCTCTATTTACAGTGCTTCTGTTTTCAATCTTGTTGCTCTTGTGTTGTTCACATGAGGACACAATTTAGAGTTTCATCTTTAAATTGATCCTTTCGGTATCTGAAAGCGTATGTACAGAGGAATATTAATGTGCAGTTTGTTCACATACACTGTCTCTGACTTCTGACAGACCTCTGATCTCAGTTTGTCAATAACATCCGCAGGCAGTCTGTTTGTTATACAGTTTAAACAAGAAGGGTACATGAAATTAAAACCTCACAGACAGCTGTGTATTAAGGTGAGCTCTATAAAGACAAACATCAATGAGTCAGTATTTAAACCTCTTGGACAGTCACTGTTTTAATATGTAAAATTGTTTTGATTTAATATGTAAACAACTTTACTTTTTTTTTATTTGATTTTTTTTAATAATACACATTTCAGTCAGTACCAAAAAAAAAGGATTGAGGTTCAATACCCTGTCCTATTCACAATATGTATGAGTGTGTGTGGAGACTTAAGCGAGTAAACGTAGCCAGCTAATGATTGAAACATGTTCAGAATGCATTAATGTCTAAATACAACTAAATCAAGTAAATAACAGAAAAAATCTTGGGCACCTAATAACTCATGGCTCTGCTGTCTGCACACACACCACTATAACACATCGGACAAAGGTCACAACACTCTTTGGGGGACAAAGGTCTCAAAAGGTGTTTTGTGTGTGTGTGTGTGTGTGTGTGTGTGTGTGTTCAACATATCAGCCAAGACGAGTCTTTCTCGGTCTGATTCACCTTCCCTCAGGTTACTTTGACAAATGAAAGGAACCCGCGAGAAGTTCATGTGTAAAGCCTGCATGGCGCAAATCTCTCATGTGTACACACACACACACACACACACACACACACACACACACACACACACACACACACACACACACACACACACACACACACACACACACACACACACACACACACACACACACACACACACACAGAGGCTACGTGATTACTTGTGGTGATTTACCTAGGTGCCAGGCCGGTTCAACTACGACTTAAGCGGGAACACAAGGAGACATGACCTGCATCATTTACTGAACAGGTAACGCATACAGACAGACAGGGTCCAGGTTTTTAAGATGGTAACAGAAATGTAGTCTCAAGCCGCCCACCTCAAGCAGAGATAAGCTACAGAGGTCTGGTAAGCTCGCTTCTTTCTTAACTCCACCCCCAGATGTTGTTCCTTTTTAAACTTGTACACTTTAGCCCCAACTAACTCAAGTGACATCACTTGAGGCAATTTATCAGATTTGTAACAGCCCCATCTGGAGCATGTCATGCATCATAATTGATTATAGAAATAACTTGTTCCACATTTGCTTTATACCGTTCCTTCAGGCTAAAATTAATACAAGATAATAATATGGAACGCGTTAGCTGGTGAAATAATATGGCAAGCGTTACAACTATAGTATTTTAGCAACTGGTCAGCTAACATATCTAACTTGAGCCAACATTTTTTTTTTTCCCCCCACATATGCATAGTTTACATATAAGGTTAAGTGTTCAGATGGATCATGGAATTGATTTATAACTCCTTTTACTTCACGTGAAGTATTTTTTGTAGTCTAGGTTTAATTCAACAACTGTACAAACCGCTTTAGCTGTTAGCTGCCTCCCTCTTTTCTCTTTGGCTAAATTACCACTTCCTTGAACAAATCCTTATGTTTTCTCACGCCTGTATAGACTAATCTGTCTGTTAGTGTCCACACATCAATTTCTATTGACTTGATGTAATCTTGCCACCTCTAAACCTCACTTTGTGTTCATTCTGAACACCTTTAGGCCAATTAAAATATCTTTACTACTACAGCATTCTGTAGATTGTGGGGGGTTTTTTTCACCCTAGCCACTTTCATGTTAGCGCTGCATAAAAATCAACATGCAGAGAATTGGAGCTTGTCTGAGTGAGGTGATCCATCACAGTGAACAAACACTGCATCTGCTTCTGTTGTCAGCTATGTTACTGTTGTGTGGTTCGGACTTTTTAAATCAATCTGTTTTCACGCCTTGCTGCATTTAGTCTCTTTAAGTTCATTTTAATGTGATAGGGAAATTAATGGAAACAAATGGCTGCATGGAAGGAAGGGAAAACACATTAAAAAGTCTAAAACAGCACTGAATTCTTGGGGAAAATACAGTAAAGTGACATACCTGTGATTTATAGTGAGTGAGGGCACTTTAGCTGTAAGTTTCTGCATGTACAGGTGGTGTGGCAGTCTCCTGTTAATTTTGTTTTCTGACATCACTATGTTGTTGATTTAGATGCAATAAAAATACAAAACATCTGTGTACAAGACTTTATTGGCATTTTCTTTCAAGGACAGGACGCAACCGTTTTCAGAAACAGAGTACAAAGAGTCTTTCTGTGAAGTATATCGGAGTATTGCTAAAATGACAATAAATCTAGATTGATCGTTACAAAGCAAAAAATGCCAGATCCATGCTAATGTAGCTGGCTGCCCCTGCCATGCATCACGATTGATTTTAGAAATAGCTTTTTCCACATTTGCTTTATACCGAAATTCCTTTCTGATGTCCACAATGTTTACACCAGACGTCTATCTGAATCTAGTTTGGCCTGACTGGTTCCAACACATCAAATTTCTTTTTGTTTTTTATCCTTGCATGGAGTTTTTGTTGGAGTCTGTGTTGTGCTGGGAACCGTTGTTTTTTGGTGTTAGCAGAGTCTATTTTGTAAGCTGCAGTGTGTTCGCTATGTGTTCAGAATCACTAGGCAAGAGGTTCGAGAGCGCGTGTGAATGTCACAGCCTACATAAACTAATGGATCGTGGAATATCTGACCTGATTTCTTCACATAAAAAGCAGCATATATCCTGTTACAAGCAACCGAGAAAGCCAGCGAATGGTTCATTTTTGTGAGGTTACAACCCGTTCACTAATAGGCTATAAAAAGTGAGTCATTTCATTTAAAAACTACAGCTAGACCCTTTTAAATCTTCTCATTTATGTACTGATCAGTGTGTTTTGTTATGATTACTTAGGCTGTTTATTTACCTGCATTAGCCTTTTGTTATCTACACAATAATATGGCGATTTAACGGATTAGTAGATCCTCCATGATGGCATAGGAGGAACGTTTTCCGGGTCACAGGAGGATGCAGGGAAGCACAGTTAGCACAATGAAAAGCTCCTTGTGTCTCAGTTGTCCAAGCTGACTAAAGCTGCTGTCCTTTATGACGGAGCAGGATCCAAACTTTTCAGCGCCACCTTTCAAGCCTACAAGGGGCCAAGGTTCATTTAGATACCTGATTTTGACTTAGACTTAGTCTTTTGATGAAAATGTATTTTTGTTAGTCTCTCCTCTTGTTGTAGCCAGCTCTGTCTGTGGCGACCCTTTTCTATGGCCAGGCTGTGTTCACTCTGTCTGGATGTTGTTAATTTTTCTTAGTTTAGGACATTTTATTGTGCCCAGGTAATTTGCCAGTGTGAATTCTCTTTTTAGGGTCAGATAACATTGTAATCACATTGTTTACTTTGTGTTTTGGTCGTTTCTTTCTAGTTTTCAATATATTTGTCTGTCTGCTTCTTGATAATGTGGTTTGGGCTGCTTGAGTTGGTGTTGCTGTCCTGAGGCTGCTGGGGACTTGTTACTGCAGAGAGCCTCAGGACCAACTGGCTGAGGGTACTCTTCTATGGCTTCAGCTCCTGGTATGTTAGGGCTTTGTGATGGTATGTCTGGGGGTTAACTGATTTTAAGTGATTGTAAAATTTAATTGATCTTTTGTGTATTTTTAGTAAGAGGGGGTATTGGCCGAGCTCTGCTCTGCACAGGTTATTTGGTGTCTTTCTCTGCACCTGCAGGATGCTCTTACAGAACTCAGTATGGAAAGATTCTGATTGTTTTGTCCCATTTGTCAAATTCATTACAAAGTTTTGGCCCCCAGATTTTGCTACCATATAGAATTATTGGTTCTAGTACAAACTGGAGAATTTTAAGCCAGATTTCAATTGGAATATAGATTTTAATGTTTCTTTTTATTGCATAGAAAGCTCTCCTTGCTTTGTCCCTCAGATCTTTCATAGCCATGTTGAGGTTCCCTGTGTATGTAATGTTAAGGCCAAGGTAAGTGTAGTTTTTTGTATGTTGTGATTTAGTGGTGTCTAAATAGAAATTGTGTGTAACCTGATTTCTGTATTGTTTCTGAAAGATCATTATCTTAATCTTTGCTGTGTTTACTGTCAGGTCCCAGGTCTGACAGAATCTCTGCAGGAGATTAAGGTGCTGCTGCAAACCTTCTTTAGTAGGTGAAAGTAACACTAAGTCATCTGCATACAGCAGACCACTGATCTGTGTCGTTCAGGAGGAGGCCAGGTGCTGTGGAGCTCTCTAATTGGTTCGCTAATTCATTGATATATAGACTGAAGAGAACTGGACTGAGATTGCATCCTTGCCTCACTCCCCGGTCCTGAGAGAAGAACGCTGTTTGTTTGTTTCCAATCTTTATGGCACATTCAATGCCACTTTCAAGTAGCCTATAGAAAAGTCCCTCATGCCAGATGGAATCAAAGGCTTTTTGGAAGTCAACAAAACAGACATATGCCTTTCTTTTCTTAAGGTTTAATTCTTGATCTATTAAAGTCTGGAGGGTAAATATATGGTCCATTGTGCGGCAATTTTGAAAAAAAAACAAAACTTGGCATTTATGCAAAATATTGTGGTCATCAAGAAAGTCATTAAGTCGTTTATTAATGATGTTGCAAAATATTTTTCCCAGGTTACTGGATACACATTCCTCTTTAGTTATTTGGATCTTTATCTCCGGATTTATGATTTGGGGCTGTTAAACCTTTGTTCCAGATGTCTGGAAAAGTTCCAGTTGATGGAATAGTATTGAATAGTTTTAGTATAGCCAATCTGATTTTATAGAGTATTTGATCATTTTGTTGAGGATTCCATCAGTACCACAAGCCTTTTTTTCCTTTCAGGGACTGGATGACTTCTGTTAATTCTTGTTCGGTTACTGGGTAATCTAGAGCTCTCCCCCCCCCCCCCCCCCCCCAAAAAAAATTCAAATCCGCTTTATTGGCATAAAATACAGTCAGTTCTTTCCTGAAAATAATTGGCACCATTGGGTTCATTGATTTAAAAGCCGATCAGTGAGTTATCACCTGCATCAAGTTATATACAACAGGTATATTTACATGATACTGTTCTGTAACCAGAGAATTTGTGGCTTCAAAAACAAAGATTAACCTGACTTTCAAAACACGAAGCCCACAATAAACGTTGTCATGTCCCAGGAAAGTGAAGAAACTGTTTGGCAATAAATCAAATGTCAATAATTGACTAATTCTCTTTGTGTCAGAACACTGAAACATGACAGGTTATCCTGTGAGCGGGGCAGTCGCTACCATTCAGGACACAGAGATCATGTTGATGCTGATTCTGATAGCTCCTGCCTGTGTAGAGAAAACTGGAATTGGACCATGTTGGAGATATCATTTTAGACAATGTTTATTTTAACAGTTAAATGGAATGTATTTTTACATGTATTTTCTTAAATACTCAGAACAGAGTTTGGTGGTTGTTATTTTTTTGATTGTTGTGGTTCTTGTGGGGTAATTGGGTTTCATGACCATCATATTTTAAAAGTACTGGCTTTAGTTCTGCCTGCAAAAAAAAAAAAAACACATTTATGCTGCTTCCCGGTTTTTAATGATTCCCTGTTTGGACTGTACTAAAACCTGGCGAGGAAGTTGTTTTAAGCTTAATATTGATTGGTGGAAAAACACATTTTAATAAGGATTTGCACAGAAAACAGTGGATCTACCCTTTAAACACTGACAAAAGCAAACAGACAATCTGCTCTGCTCAAACCTGCTGAAAGCTTCGATGAGGCCAAACGAGCCTCTGAACAACCAGGTCACTGGGAACACTGGGGCCCTGCCAGCTTTTGTGTAGCAGCTTGCCGTGTGTGTGTGTGTGTGTGTGTGTGTGTGTGTGTGTGTGTGTGTGTGTGTGTGTGTCAAAGCCATACACCCTCCCCTCATGTTGGGAGAGCAGAGGCCCAGTCCTTCACTCCTCTGTGACCGTTGTCCACCTTCCCCCTCCTCCTCCAGTCTTTTTCTTTCCTCCGTCCTCTTTTTCTCCTTAAACTGTCTTTTGTTTTCATTTTCGTTGGCATTTCTGCTCCGTCGTTGTTCAGGTCCTAAATGAGTCTTGACTGGCCCGCGGGCCATTGGAGAAGCACAAAGGACTTCGTTCTACTCGCTACAGTTCATCCATTGTGGGCGTCCCACAATGCACTAATTGGCGATGACAATTAAGCGCGGTCGACACTCAGCTTCAATTTGCCCACTGCTCAACATACATCACAGGCTAAATGATTCAGCCTCTGAGCTCCCTGCTCTCTCAGACAATATGCGTATTCACTCAGGCAGGTTTACACACACCTTTATTCACATGAGTCTGTTTTTCTCTCAGCTCAGTTTGAGGCTGAGCTCAGAAACTGACAACCATCTGCATCTCAGCAAACGATCTTGTTTGAAAGTTCATTCTTGTCCTTGGAACCAGTAGTTTACAAAACAATCATACCAAAAGGTCCATTTAGTGGCTGTTGTGGAGCTTTCAATCACATCATACAATCTTCACTCAAATTTCATAAAAATTGGAAAAAAGATTGTGATGTGATCTGTTGAAATGTACTGTCAACAAAATGTTCTGAAAGTAAGGTAAAAGTTCTAGGTTGGTAAAAGATGAAATGGCACCTGTGCCTGATCATTTTATTGTTGCTGATGCATTCATCTCTATAAACAGATTCTGCATATGGATACAGAATATGTTGACAAGGGACAAGATTTTGGTATTAAAGGCCGGAATTGACCAATCACGTATGAGTAGGCTTTGGTTGCATGCAAGTAAACAATCGATGTAGAGAGAGAAAGAGGCACAAGACACTGCCCAGAATGCAATCTTTTTGAACTTGAAACTTTTGTCATAAACCAAAGTTTATGTTGTTGCTAGAAGAAGTCAGAGGATTACCAAATGGTCATGGTGGCACCAAAACTCATCAGGGGCTCACCAAAGTTATTAGGGTTCATCCTCCGGGGGCAATGTACAAAATTTCATCAGAATCCATTTAATAGTTCTTGAGACTGATCCTATGAAAGGGACACATGAACTTCCTGAAAAACATTTCATCTTCCGTAGTGTCTCATGCTGCACCATTGTAGTCCAGTGAATAAAGCCATCCCAAATTTTTCAACAATCCCACCTTTCTGCATCAGATTTAACTTGCTCTGCGTAACTAATAGTCTATTATGTTACTTAAGACTGATTCCTCACTGTGTAATAATCTGCCCCAAACTCTTATTTAAATAATACTATTTTATGGGACCTTTTACATACCTCTGTGATGAAGGTGCGATTCTAACTAATTTCCTTTTGTTACAGATCTGTATAGAGAGCCAAGGATGCAGTATGGATTCAAATCTCCAAGTGCAGCTGTTTTGTTCAGTGTTGCAGGTTGACGTGGACGCCAGCGCGAAGCAAGAGGTGTTCAGCACACATCCAGAATGTTTTGCAGTTTTCACAGTAAGTGCTGTGGAAAGCAATGACTTCATTCAGTTGTGGCAGCGATTTGTCCTCCTGCCTGCTGGGAATAATGCGTCTTGTCTATTACAATTGACGAAACAATCTCACCACCAGGTCCATTAGCAGCTGATCCAGAACTTTTGATCTTAACAAAGATCTTCCTCTGCAGGTGGAGTTTGCTGTAGTAGTTTTTCTGAGCTTTTTAATTACTTCCTGTCCATATTGAGGCTTAAATTGAGAATAAAATTAAGGCAAACTCCATCTGCTGTCGAAAATTGTGCCATGTTGTTCCTTTAGTTGTCCTCAGTTTGAATCCAGTTTTATGGGGATAAATAGTTGGTTCAAACATGAATTATAACTTTTCAAGTCACTCCTGCTTAATTCCCTAGTCTGTCGTCCATTCATATGCTCAGTATGTTCATTCATACCCAGTGGTGGATGAAGTATTCAGATCCTTTACCCAAGTAAAAGTACTAATACCATACTGTAAACGTACTGTTGCAAGTAATAACTAATACTTTTTTTCATTATGAATTCATCTGCTTAGTATTTTCTCCATTATTGTTTGTAAAAAAAAAATTTAAAAAAAAAGTTAAATGTGGAAAATAGTGAGATTCTTTAACAATTACCTAGAGCACAAAGTGACACCTTCACAATGCTTTGTTTAGTCCAACCAATTCAACATTAACACTTCATTCAAATTATTAAAATAATTAATTTGTGAAGCTGGAACCATTACATTTTGCATGAGAATGGACTTCAAAATAATATTAGTTTTACTTTTCTGTCAACTGACTAATCATTTCAGCGGTACTTGTATAAGCAATTGGGTATTTTAATTCATATCAAAACATCACATTTTATAAACTCTTCATATGTTTTGTGTGGAAAAATCTTCATTAGTAAAGTAACTACTAAAGCTATCAGATAAATATAGTGAAGTAAAAGGTACAATTTTTCCTATTGAGATGTAAAATAAAATATCCAAGTGAAGTACAGGTACCTCAAATTTGTAGTTGAGTACAGTACTTGAGAACGTAGTTACTTTCCACCACTGCTCATACCATTTGCAGAGATATTAAATACTGTACACAGGTTCCATTTGTAGCTAGCGCTGTTAGCTCACCAATGCAAGCCAATACTGTTGTATTTAGCTTAGATAAATCTGGACAAAGGAAGATAAAAGCAGCAGATATGAAAGGAAGTCAAACCAAAATGTCCTCAGACAAAAAAAACATGAACATTTCTCCATGCAGGATTCAAACACTTTCACTATTAATAAGTTTGTCTTTATTGGCATCAGTGGCTAGCAGACAAATTTGAACAAAACCAGACAAGAGGAGGGGTTGATAAAAATCAACTCCCTGTACTTGCATACGAGTTTGGCTGCAACGAAAAGAAACAATGATAAAAACAATAACTTAAAAAGTGCAAAAGAGAGAAGAATTTCAGTCCAGTTACTATGTTTAAATACTGTACAATATATTCTCCTCCAAACCCGTCAAGTAAAACACACTGCGATGATCATAATGTGCCTGAAACATAAGAACATTTCCAGTCGTGTACTCAAAAACACACCTGCTCTGATGTGACAACCCGTAAACACAGTTCAATGTACTCGTCCTGGACGCTAATCTTCACACATAAAATAGCCTCAAGGTTTCATTTTAGATGTTTAAGTTACAGTACAATGAAAAGATAACCTAACTTAGCAGTCAAATCCTGATGGAAACAAATGGGCAAAATTGTAGGAAAGGCTGTAAAAACAAATAAATGAATAAAAATCAACTAAACACAAAACTGCTCTTTCAAGCTGTACGAATGAACAAACCAAACATGTTGCATAAAACAAGCCATGAAATGAATAAAAGTAATCAGATGCACAGGTCTTCCAGACAGCTGCTGTATAAGCAAACTACAGCCCAGCAGGTATTGGGGATCTTTTTTTTAATTTGGGAGCACAAATGAGTAATTTGGCTTTTGAATAAACGTTAACATACTGTAACAATAGAAACTATTTGTCCTGGTACAGTATGTTTAATATGCAACTTTCTTCAGTGTTGGTATGTCAAATAATTACTGACAAATTAGAAGCATCGCGAAGGGGGCGGTGCCGGCAACGCGACGGCGTGAGTTGAAAATATTCAACTCAAGCGAGAAAGTTGCATGACGCTGAGTCGTGACAGCCTATCAGCGTTGAGATTGTCCACACGTCACCGATGGCTTCAGAGCAATGTGTGGAGAGGGCCAGGCAGAGCGGGCGATTGAAAATCTGCTGGCTGGCAGAGAGCTACTAAACTCTGGGGAGAGGAGCAGGGAGCAGCGCTGCAGCTATTGGACAAAGAAACACCCGTAGGCGGACTGGATTGTGCTCTGACAACTACACCGTTTGCTCGCGGGAGGAGCTCGGAGTAAACTGCTTTTATTAAATTAGCTTTTTACTTTAGTTTTTGGGATCACAACGTTGATTTATCTTATCTTAGACATTTAGCTTCTCAGAAGCGAGCTTCCGTGCACATCCAGTTCCAGTGTTGTTAGCGTTGTTTGGCACTACTTCATATTTATATGAAAATTTTAGAAGTTGTTGTCCTGCTGTCTTGCTGACAGACCTGACAAAGCATGAATTCATATGTTTAACAAATCTGCATCATGTTGTAGTTATTGCTATTTAATCACAGCAAAATGTTTATTTTGGGTTCATACAGCTGTAGTAATGGTATGGTCTGAATGCGGCATTCAGACCAAACGTGAATTTAATCTAGCTCTGTGCAGACCTCGATTCACAGGACACAGGAAAAAAAGAGCCCTGAAACCTGCCGGGCTCCGTAGTACACAAATTAAACAACCACTGAATAAATAAACAAAACTTCACACAGTCAAAATCAAAAATACTTCAACCAAAAGATCTACAGCCTTTTCATTAGTTTTTAATGCAGCCAATAATAAAGTAAACATGGCTGCAAGCATGACCTTCAAAAGGAATGTAATTAACTGACACATCAGTGCATTTTTTCTACCATATTTAAAACTGCACTGTTTTTTTTTAGTTTCAGTCTACAGTCTCCTATATGCTTCATAAACATGAATAACCAGACTGCTTTTCACAAAAGTACATATTCCCAAATAAACAGACAGGCAGCTTATTTAAAGTTATTTGTTGTTTTTATGGCTCGAACAAGCTGAAAAAGAGGACAAAAAGTGGACAGATGAGCGAAGAATTAATACTGAAATAAAGATATGAGTCCGGCACACTGAGACTTCAGTTTCTCAGAAACAAAGAAGGAAGAAAAAGCAGCTACATTTCCATCCAAATGATGACAAATTCTGCTATCAGACTGTAAAGCTGCAATCCATGACTTTGTTATGATGCCCAAAAATAAAATTTGTCTCCAAGATTGTTATGAATATTTAGAAACTTAAACATCAGCTATTAGCTGGACACTGTTACAAAACCAGGGAGTTCGGCTTTAAACGACAGAGGCAGCATGTACTCTTTCTTTCCAAAAAGGTTTTCATATCTGAATGGAGTAGATCTGTATTTTTTATTTTTATTTTATTATTTTTTTTTGTAGAAAAAAAAAACATGTATTATATCAACATTTTAGTAAAATTTGCCTTGAAACAGGATGGAAACACAGCTGGTGCGGGAGTGAAAACGTAAACCGAAGTGTTTCTTTACACATGAAAGCAGTGGGTTATAAAAGGCCATCTAGGTTGCATAGAGATACTAAAAGCTAAAGCTGCTATCATGTTTGATAGATTCTGCATGAATAAAGCACAACAAGAAGTGGAATCACAGAGGAAGAGAGAAGATAAAAGGCAACAATTAGAGGATAACAGTGTACAGTATATTATTGCCCGTGACTTTACAGTTAGACTGATAGAGGGAAGAAAATGTGCTTAGGCAGACTCCCTTTTAAATCAAGTCTGTTTACATTTTAAATAAAAAAAAAAAACACTGATAAAATGAGTGAAATCGAAGAGTTTAAAAAGATCTTTCACTCCACATCTACAAGTTAAATAATGCAGTTTAATTAAAGACAAGGGGAAAGACACCTGATAGTTAAAGGATGGAGGGATTTATATACTCAGTCACAGCTAATATTTATAATTATTATGTTTATTATTTGGTTAAACACCCCAAACTAATGGCTCCAGTTACATCCCAAGTGAATCCAAAATCAAATCATATGCTCCTCCTGAGGACTTCAATATGACTGTATAATGTTTGTGAAGAAGCAAAATCTAAAATACAAACAGCAGCAGTTGTGGTCAGTTTGGATGGATTTGAAAAGGCGACAAAATGTCACGGTTGATTTAATAAAAAAAAAAAGAAAAAAAGAAAAAAAAAAATCAAACATCCACAGGAACTTATGAGAGTGAAGCTGCAGTTTCTGGTCTGACCGGGTAACGCTGTACAAACAGGGGTGATGTCGCTGTTGTGGAATAATGACCACTAAATAACTTTACTGGGGCTTTAAGTAACAACAATTAATTTAGTATCTTTTCATTTCTTTGACTTGTAGAACAGATTAACCGCTAGTAAAAAATTACATGCATCACAATTTCTTAAAGTTTAAAGTCTTCAAATAACTTTTCTGTCAAACCAATAGTTAAAAACTTTACTGTAAAGGGAGACACGGAAAAGCAGGTAATTCTCAAATTTAAAGAGCTGGAAACAAACGATTGACGTTTTTGCTTGAAAAATGACCAAACTGAATTACTCTCCGACTGACTAAGGTGCGTTTCCAATGCACATTTTCAGTTTGTGCATAAAAAAATCTTAATGAAAACGCTGAAAAATCACAAATAGTTTTACGCTTGGCTGAGGTGGAAAAGTTAGTGAAAGTGTAATGAAAATAAATCATGAGGTGCATCATCTCATTGTGCCTTCTTCTTCTGCAATATTTAATCGCACCTGAGTAGAGATTTAGCTCAAAGCATAAACTTCGAATATTCACATAATGGTAGTGGATGCATTCATTTGCATTTTCTCTTGCTGATTGTCAGTTAAAATTTGCGCTATATGTGGATGGAAACCTGACTTGAGACTGAAGCCTCCATGTCTGGATTTTGTCCCCATCACTTACATTGAAATCGCTTAAGAAAGGGATCTTTTAAAGGACAGTATGAACAGGAGGGAAGATTACAGCAAGTAAAACCTGTTTCACTGCTCATGAGCACATAGCTACTGTTTTAAGAGACTTGAAAACATGTGAACGTACCCTTTAATATTTGATTAATTGTAACTGACATGAATCCAAGTTGACAACAGCTGCTGTTCTCTGTAAAGACTACAAACATTTTACAGCCATGTTTCAAGGCTTCAGTGTGTGAGTTTCATACTGAAATGGCTTGGGGTAGAGTATTTAACATGAGTAGGGCTAATAATTATTTTCATCATGTATTAATCATCTATTTTTCAATAAATCATGAAGTCTCTAAACAAAGATCACATGTTCCCAGAGGCAGAGGAGACATTTTCAGTTTGCTTATTTAGTTTGACCAACAGTTCAAAACCAAAAGCTAATCTTCACATTCAGTGAACGTTTCGGTGGTTCAATAAATCAATTACCAAACTTCTGGTCATTGACTAAACTTAAGCATGACCGAGTTTAATAGCAGGCGGAAGACGCTGGTAATGATAAACCACCAAAATGTTCCAACTGTTAGTTTTAATTCCTCCAGTTTACCAGCTGTGATTTTACAGTTTTAACCCCTTGAATAAGTGAAAGTGATGTGGTAAAGGGATGAAGACGGCCGAGGATGACCTTGAAGTGTGATGTTAAAATACAAGTAGTTCAGTCCAAAAAGCCTGATGCAGCAGTTCTTCAGTTGGTTTGCTCCCTGCTCTTTACAGTAAAACAAAGGGGGCTTAGCACACTTCACACACACACACACACACACACACAAACACAAACCTGACGATGCATCAGACGCTCTGGGTTCGTCCTCTGGTCAAATAATTTGTTCTGGTCTCGCATACAAATCAGAATAACAGGCACTTTGTCCAGCATCATGGCCTGGCAGCGCCCTCATTGTTACTGCTTTTGTGTGCATCTCAGGTGTCTTGGTAGGGCAGGTGAAAGCACCCGGGGCTGTCGTCGTCAGGTGACCAGAAGGAGGACGGCCTCTTGTGGTGGAGTTCTCGGCGAACGCAGCGAGGACACGGCTGAGCTTTCTGTCGACACTCTGCGTGGAACACAGCGCCACAGCCGTCACACCTGCGAACACACAGATGAACACACGGGTCACTCAAGTGGCGTTAATTTAAAGATTCTGCAAAAAAAATTTATGATATTGTGGAATAAATGAAAAGTTGTGCCACCGAACATTGTTAAAAATGTAAAATACAGCATCTAAATCTATCTTTTAAATATTAAACACTCACCCTGTTTTTTGGGGTTTTTTTAAGTATGACAAAACCGACTGCATTTTTTCATCAATAAAAACAATGATAGACAGATAAATGAATAAATTAAGTCATTACTGTTTTAATGCAAAGTTAATGGACCCATCTGCTTCCAACAAACTTACCAATTAAATTACCCATTAAAGGCTAACTTGGGTATTTTTCAACCTGGACCCTATATTTCCATGTTTTTGTGTCTAAGGCCTTGTTCAGACTTTAGGTCAAAGTTACCCAAATCAGCCACAAAAGGCCACAATTAACAATTTGTCTCTCTTTCTTCTTATCATGTGCTCACAAATTCCCTTTCGTCCACCTGAAATCTACTTAAAAATAAAACAGTAGCCGCTAACCTCTGTGGCCTCCATATTTACTTTCATACAACAGGGTGCTGTGTGTGACGACATATTATTCTTGTGCACATGCTGCTCACTTTTAGGCCATATTGTCAGACACTTATAATACCAATCTGAGCCTGTCAGTAAAACAAGGACTGTACTGGACGTATTTTGTCGGTGCTCAATTGCCTGCAGGGAGTATTTTGCAGCCCTGTTTCGCTGCTGCTGACTGCAGCACGCTCGCTCAGTACTGGACATATTTCAAAAAATGTTGTCCTAATTAGTCACAGACACAAAAACATGAAAAAATAGGGACCAGGTTGAAAAATACTTTTGTTTCCCTGTGGCTATTAACATCCAGTTATAGCTCATTTCCTGTGCCATCAGCAGGGAAGTATTTATTTTGTCTGCCACTCAGAACTTTTATCTGCTATTTTTGAAATATATGTGCTAAATGAAGGAATAACATAATAATTATATAACATAAATAATGTCATTGAATGTTCAATATATTTACACAAAAACATTACATGCATGTTTGCAGGCACAAAGGACCCATGTCTTTCAGTACATGACAATCACTGCACCTTACTTAATCAACAGCCAGATAGGTAATTCAAAGGTACCGACAGATGACAAGAAACACAAAGTTCCCCACAGTGTATTATACAGTCAGCCCTCATTACAAAACTCACAGTTCAACTACCAATGAATTCCAACAAAAACCTCCTCGTTTGGATGCAGCAAGCAAACATTATATACTCAGTTTCATTACAAAAGCTGGCCAACGAAAATAAAACCAAGTGATGTGTCTTGCATCTAATAGACTAGCTTAGTGATTCTCCAACACCGGAGTTACCTCCTGTAGTATGGCCAGCTAACCAGCTGTCACTCAGGACAGACTGGGCCTCTTCCAATGGTAAGTTTGGTTTGAAATGATAGATATTACCTGAGCTTGTGTGTGTGTGTGTGTGTGTGTGTGTGTGTTTTACATTTGACACAACCGATCACCACAAAACACTAACATCCCTGTCTGCCAAAGTGGCCTGACAGTTTTACCCACCACTGCCGACAAAATACCCGCATTCTGCGGCTGCTAATTTCAGATCCTGACCATCAGTGTCTGAGTAACTCAGTCAAGCTCAACAGCTCAGTTCCAGTAAGTACAGCAGATACAGCTGTTATCAGTTAACACTTGACAATTCCTTCACAAGTCATAAAGAGCAACTCAACAAGGAAGGTGTGTATGTGTGTGAGTGATAGTACAGACTGTTTCTCTCCACAGCCCAGAGTCTTCTAGGAATCAGTCCTGGTCAGCTCTTATCTCTCTGCTGTCTGTCATTCCTCAGTGACGAGGCTCTGGACTGTGTTAACTGTCCATGTTGGAATAACCGTTAAGCTCTCTCTCTCACTCTCTCTCTCACTCTCTCACACACACACACACACACCAACCGGTGCCACTAACAAGCAGCAGGCTCAACTTGCTCAGGTACACATATCATGTCTTTGCTTTGTGTCTGTTTTTGTGTGTGCAGATTTGAACATTTCTGCCTCCAATCACAATGGAGGTGAGTTTAGTTTATGCTGCTCACGGCATTGAAACATGACGTTAAAAAAAGTTCAACATCTCTTTCCAGACTCACTGTCATCTATTTTTTTGCGACTACGCCTTTGATAGACACTTATGAAAACTGTTCACATGTTCTGTGGATTATTCAGAGTAGCCAGAATATTGTTTCTGCAACAAGATGTTGCTGTTGAATATTTTAAAATGTTATGTTTCAATGCTGTGAGCTCCACAAATTAAATTTCATTCACCCCTATTTTATTGGGTTTGACGCAGAATATATCTATTAAAACCTGGAACAAACATTTTAGTTACTATCATTATTACACTATTCCTGATCTTCAGTATCAGTTTATGTCCTCTCACCCCTGTTTCCCTTTGGATCTGTGCATTCAGAAAAAGAAATGCAAGGTTCTTGATGCAACTCATTGTCTTCTGAAGAACCTCCTGCAGAAAAGGACTTCTCAAGGAAAACCGAACAGGAAGCAAGGGCAACAGAAAGACACAAGCTGATACGGATTCAATCTTGGCAGCACAAAGTTAGACAAAGGAAAGTCTACTGTTTAAACTTGATCAAAAAAAATCAACATATCCCACTGTTTTTAGGTCCACTTCGTTTTGACACAAGGAGACATTTTAAAAAGAACAGGAGTTCCTGGTAAGTTTTGAGATTAAAGTCCAAACTATCACTCAAACACACATTACTTTGCCAGCTAGCTACAGCTGAAATTTGTACTCTCCATACATTGACTACAAATGTACAGAAAGTTCAGTCTGTTCAATCTGCATCTTTAAAAGGTGAATGCTTTTAGGTAGAACCTGTTTGGACGTCTTTATCGTGAGTGTGTGATGTTTATTTGACAATACCTGACTTTTTACCGGGAACTATCATTGCAGTGTTCGGATCTTTTTCCACTGAATCAAGTGTTTCCAGATAAAAAAAAAATCTAAACCAACCATATCTGTAACTGATGAAGTAAATGTTGAAATTCATAGAGAGATCATCTTGAGGGTTTGTACCTCTTTGTGGCGCTCTCCTGAAAGGGGTAGATGACCTGCCCGTTTTGGCAGAGCTCACAGATGAAGCCTTTCTCTCGACACAAACTGCAGCTGAAAACATGGGAACTGGCAAACTTGATCACCTTGGACAAGAAGGGAGCCAGTTTTCCATCAATCACCTGGAGGATGGGGAGGGGATAAAGAGGGGAAGAGCAAGCAAGGGAGAAGAGAAAAAAAAGAGATGGTCAACAACAGCAAACATCAGACTTTGACATACGGCACCACCCTGGCTGTGAGCAACATCAGCACAATTTTAAAATGTTGCTTAGCCTACATACTCTTCGTGTCTTGTTTCACTCGGTTGCAGTTTATTGTTTCCACCGGGTAGCCAAAATGCTGCCACAAACTATTTAAAAGTAAACATACCCCTATTAGTCAGTAGAATTAGATATAGTTAATTGCTACAAGCAATGTAATTAAAGGTAGCAAAGCCTGAGGGGGTCAAAAAGTCCAGTCCTAAAGATCAGAATGGACAATTGATGACATTCAGCAAAATAAAATGTATGTTTAATATAAATCTAAAAAGCAATTCATTAGAAGAGAGCCTGCCAATTGCCAAAGGGTAGCCAATGAAGGAATGTCCCACGTAGCATCTATGACCCAGATATGTAATACAGCAGCTATTTGCATGCCAAGGGAAAGATTTGGCATATAAGCAGTCAACACTCCCACTGGGAACATTGAACTGATGTGTTTTAATCTGATGTAATTTGTGTTGACACAGATTTGTTTGAGGCAAAGACATGTCTGTGCGTCATGAAAATGTTAAAATGGTTAAATTCAATTCAATCTAGCTTTATTGGCATGGATGTAAAACCACAATATTGCCAAAGCTACAAATAAATTACAAAAAAACAATTTTCTACAGTTAACAATTAATATAAACTTATATAACTATAAAAAAATAATAGGATATATAAAAAACCAGTATCAAATATGAGATAAAAAAAAAGGAACAATTACTAAAATAACAGACAATGAAAATAATAATTTCAAAACTTTTCAGAACAATTGTTATATTTATGAGTCTATTCTGAGGCCATTGGTTGTCCTCAGTTCATGGCATGAGGAGATATATTTTGCTGCAATTATTTGACATTTGGGCATTTCTCCCAGTAAATACGAGAGTTTCTGTGTGGTGAGGTTAGAACGTGCAGCTAAAACAATCTGAGGTTATTCTGAAACTGTAGGACTCTTCATGAAAGGAGAGGAGAGGTTCTGGGTCTATGTTCTGAGATCATTTAAAAAGTTTTTATACCATATTTAAAATAATGTAAACAAACAACTTTCTACAAGAAAACAGAATCCTCTCTGTCTTGGATGAAAGATAGGAGACAGGAGGAGAGGAAACTAAGAGAAGGAGGAAGACGGTAAATGAGGTGAACGCCTTTTAATGGCAACGCTTGGCAAGTTCCTTTAAGAACTGGGGGGGGGGGTTGGCAGCGGGGGCCCAGAGTTGTATTGTATTGAATAGACAGTGGATGACTCACAGAGGAAAAACAGTTAGTGAAAAGAAAAGCTGTGTAGAATCTTTTTCAGAAATAAAAGCTCAATATAGTCGCAAAGCTTTGTCGTATCATGTTAATGATGCAGACAGAGCTATGAGCATAATGAGAGAGTCCATGTAAGACAGAGAGGGAGGAAAACAGGGTATAAAGTAAGAGAAAGAGTGGTAGAGATACAATATACAAGAGAGATCTTGAGAGAGAGTGAGAGCCTGTATTCAGATACAAGTGGTTCCACCTGGCAGAGCTCTGGACCTCCCAATTATAACCTCCTTCATGCTGTTTGTTACACAACGAGGACGAGAGGAGAAGAGGAGGACATGATGTGGAGAGGTGGAGGAAGAAACCACACAGAGAGGAAACAGCACACTGAGGTATACTGATCCTGTTTACAGTAAATCACACACCATGGCCAAAGTCTATTAGCCTTTACACTGAGATTAATGGCCTACACCGAAGGCTTTTGCCGTAACAACCCCCATACTGTGCCCTTATGTGCAATCTATGATATGAGACAGATATTTTAAACCAATATCTCAAGAAAAAAAACAGAATCTATTCCAGTCAGTGTCTGACAGGACTCAACGTTTACAGGAAAACAGATCAGGGCTGCAGCCCCGGAATCTAACATCCTAATATTAGTCCGGATCTCTAAATCTTATTTGTTCAGTGATGCAAATAGGTAATGCGTTATGGTGTCAATGATGGCTGTGGGTGACGATGGAGCAGTGGATAAGACACATGCCTTTGGTATGGGAGACACCACATGAGCAAGACACTTAACCCCTACTTACTCCAGAGGCGTGGCCCTTTGACATATATAGCACTTGTATGTTGCTTTAGATAAATGCGTCAGCTGAATGAGTAAATGTTTCCATGGTTGCAGAAACAGAGCATTGTAGGTTGGATAAATACCTTAATAGGTAGTTACTTAACACAGCTACATCCATGAAGGAAAGTAACAGAAAAATGGCTACAAACAGACAAAAGCTAGAGATAAGACTGATAAACAGGTTGTTATAAGTCAACTTACAGAAATAACAACTTAACTTTTGGGTGACAATGGCGCAGTGGATTACACACATGCCTTTGGTGTGTTTGATGTAAAAAGGACATTTGTAATTTCAAGGGAAGGTAAGTGCTGCAACTATTTCTTGATGAATAGTTTATCAACCCCCACAGCTCTTCATAACATCATGTGTACAGATTAAAGAAATGCGAAATAACTTTGGAGCCCGCTCGCTCTTTCCCTCTGTTTTCAGTTTTTATGCTAAGCGAGGCTAACCCATCTCCTGACTCCCTCTGCTCATTTAAAAAGGTACCCAATGGTGTTTTTGACCTCTAGAAGTGCTATGAAGGAGTTTTGTTTGTCTCATGCACACAGGTGACATGATGACACCTTCCTGCAAATGGTTTCACTCTATTCCACTGATCAACCGGTGGTGGTAATGTGCCAAGAAACAAAGAAATGCACCAACAAAGGTAGGAAAGAAGAAGAAGACTACAGGCTTTTCAACAAAATCCACTTTGCAAATGTTTTGTTTAAAGAAAGGAAATGCATTCAACGTGTTTGTTAGAGTTCAATACACACAATGAGTTCTGGTAACACAAAATGTAAACCTAAAACTCCAGAAGGCACATATCAATTGACATATTTCTTCTATCATGAAAAACATTAAAATAACTGCCCCTATTAAGCCAAGTCAAGCTAAGCCTTTGACTAGAAATGACAGCAGGATGGATACATCACAAGCTACTAATTGTTTGGGGAAAAACAAAATAGGATAATAAAAACAAACAAAACAGAAATATGTTTGTTTTGGGGCATCTGCTGCTTTCCACAGATATATCAATATCTTCTTCGGCTTGAAAAAGCAAATACATTTAGTCCATTTAGTTGGGGGTCTGTACCTATGTACATGTTTTCTTACTTTTGGAGAACAAAATTTGTAGGTCAGGGCATCATTTTTTAATTGCAGCTTCTGCAATTTAGATATTGCACTTGGCCATATTGTGATTTCACACTTATTTCAATTTATTATGCATTATCATTACTCACTGCTAATAGGGGTAGGTCTGATAACAACCTAGTTTTTTGTGCATAAGGAGACTTCTTTCGCAATTTTTGAAGTTGCTCTTTTGCTGCTGTGTGATCAGATTTGAATTTTATTCAAAAATTAAAGGAAAGGCTTATAACATGTTTGTAAGGGCTTAAGTATACAGAGAATGTGTTACAATAAAACAGCACAGTTTACCCCTAAGTGTCTCTAATTTAATGTTCTTCTGCATATGAGGGAGAAAAAGCTCAGCCCAGTACAGATACCGAGTAAATAAATGTTTCAGACTGACAGATACTGAGCGTGACAGACAAAGTACCCCTCTGCCCAGCACAGCCCATACCAAACCTAAGCAGCCCTGCTCAGTCCGGTCCAGCCAAGTCCACATGACGAATGGCTCTCTTGATGGAGGCTGACAGGCTCAGTAATTAAGGCCCTCTATAATTGGACTGGGCTGAATCAAACAACTGGCACAGCTCTGGTGGCTGACTGGTACTCTGGAGGGATGTTGGGAAAGAAGGAGGGAGGCACAGAAAGATGGATGGATGGAGAGTGACAGAAGTAAATGGACAGGCAAAAAGAGGGACAAAGCAATAGAAAGAAAAGTAATTATTTAGCGCGTATGAAGCCTTGAAATGAAAACTTACATTTTAAAACGCTGAATTTTACTTTATGCTCTGAATGTACTGATAGGGATATTTCCACATTTACTTCTCAAATTTACAGATCTTTTCCTCCATTTTCTTAAAATTCCCATATACCTCTCCCTACTGCTCGCCATAAATATCCAGTGACCATTTTATTAGCTACACCAAAGTAGCCCTGGCCAGCAGGGTCACACTGGAACAATCATCCAGACAGGAACGTACCACTTCAACCCTTTTCATTTGTACACTCGCCCAACCAGAACAACAATGAAGCCAAGTACTGATGGCTGTCCGGAGTGTCTGGGCCTACCAGGAGGCCGCTGGCAGATCTCTCCGTGCTCTGATGGGTGTTCAGGATCAACTGGGTCACTAGCAAGATAAATTAGAGGGATTTTGTGATGATTAACCAGATGAAAAAAGAAAATAAGAATCAAATGTATTTTTGTCACACAAAATTGTATACATGTACATGTTTCTCTAACCTTTTTTTTGTTTTTTCCTGGATAGTTTTATCTCTCACGTATCTGAAATTATTCAAATAAAACAATCTTTCAAGTCAGGTCCCAACTCAGGGACAAATGCAACATGTGATGAGGGATCATCCCGTAAAAAAGGTTAGGATCAAGCGCCTTACGCAGTCCACACTTAGTTGACAGCACAACAGTGTGTAACTGCCGATGTTCAACACATTAAAGACTTCAATATCTCTTTTTAAAAAGCCCTGCCGCATATGTTATCCTAGGAGAAAAAGACAGACTTGAGGTTAAAGAAAAAAAGTAAACCCTTATTTGCCAATTGGTTTATTGTGGTTACCTTCAACAGCAGACATAAATAACCAGCAAACACTGGGCAGATGGTGTACTTTTGAGACAAGTGCTCTGAAGTTTGCATTCTCCTTTTTCCACATCTT